TTTTAGTGAGGATTTGACTGTGGTTATCATGTCTTTATTTTGGTTGTTTATTTCTACGAATTGTTATCTGTCCGTCAGGTAATTTTTTATCCAGTTTAAAGCTTCATGTTGTATATTTAACTGCTGCATTTTTTGAATAAGTATGTTCCAATCGAGCATGTCAAAAGCCTTTTGCAGATCTATGAATATGCCTGATGCTGATTCTTTATGTTCCCAAATTTTGGTTATGTCATTACATAGTTGAGCTATAGCTGTGTTGGTACTTAGTTTTTTCCTGAATCCGTGTTGGTTTGCTGTAATTAAGTTATGTTTCTCTATGTGGTCTGTGATTTGGTTGTAGATGACTCTTTCGAGGAGTTTTGATAGGACTGGTAGGTTTGCGATCGGTCTGTAATTTGTTGGGTTATTTTTATCGCCTTTCTTGAATTTTGGATATATTTTTGAGACTTTCATTCTTTTTGGGATTTCTTGTTGTTCGATTGAGTTGTTTATTATGTGTAGGATGGGATTTACTAATTCTTCTTTGCAGTGTTTTATGATTTTTCCTGTTATGTCGTCGAAGCCTGCAGAGTTCTTGGATTTTAACCTTTGTATGAGGAGCACTAGTTCTTTTTTTGTGATCTTGTTAAATTTGCATAGCGGTGGGACGTTATTTCCTTGGGTATTGTTCAAGTTAGTTTTGTTTTGGGTTTCTATTAGAGGTTGTTGGGCGAAGAATTTATTGAAGATATTTGTTATGTGGTATGGGTCAGTCACCATTTTGTTGTTGTTCAGTAAGGATATTTGTTCATGAGTCTTTTGTTGACTGGTCCTTTCTTGGTTTATTACATTCCATAGATTGCCTTCGTCTTATTATCTGATGAGTTTATCTTTTTCATAGTTGTGCTTGATTTTTTCTTTTTTATGTTTTGATCATAATCTTTTTTAGCTTGGGTATAGATGTCTTTGTCCTTGTCTAGGCCGCTTGAATGATATTTATTCAGTGCTTCGTCTGGTTTCCTTTTTGAAGCCGCTATGTTTTCATCCCATAAGTCCTGAGTTTTCTTTTGAGTTAGCTTTTTTTGTTCCCTTGGCATCACTTCATTGATTTTGTCTGTTATTAGGGTTAAAAAGGTGTTGTATTTATCATTAATTCTTTTGGCCTTGTATACATTATTCCAATTTATATTGCTGAGTTTTGTTTTTAGTTCATCCAGTTTTTTTACGGAGAAATTTCTTGAATATTTGTATGTGGCTTTGACGCGATCTGGTTTCTGTTGTACATTGCAGATTAAGAAGTGGTGGTCTGATATGGTGGTTTGACAAGCTACAGTTTTGATTTTTTCAGATTGGATGTTAGTATAGCATCCGTCAATGCTCGTTTTTGTTGTTGGTGTTATTCGGGTAGCTGGGATGTCGTAGATGTGGCATCCATGTTCTATATGAGTGTGTGGTTAAGATTTTTTATACTAGGGTCTTGTGGCTTTAAGATATCAAAATTTGCATCTCCCACCACAATAATTTGGTTTTTTTTATTTGATGAGTATGGCTGTAGTAGTTTACTAAGTTTTTCAAGGAAGATAATTTCAGTATTTGGGTTTGGGGATCTGTATACTCCAATCAGTATTAGGTTGTGGCGCTTGAATTTTATTTTAACTGCTAAGGTTTCAAATGTTTGTTCTTCTTGTTCATATGGTTGTATTAGTGATATTTCATCTATGGTGGTTTTCAATTTATTATTTTTGTACAGTGCTATTCCTCCCCACATGTGTATATTGCGACAGAAATTTTTATGTAGTTGATAGTTCGGGATTTTTATTTGAAGTAGTTCCTCTTTTTTGTGTCCGTGCTCTGATATTATTAGGATATCTGGTTCATGTTGCAGTATTTCAACTTGTAGTCTATCTATTTTGCCTTGTAAGCCTCTTTGAATATTTAGTGAGAGGATTTTCAGTCTTTGATCTTGTATTTTGGTTTTATCATTTTTTCGAATTGTGGGTGGGATTGCTGTTGGAGTTTGAGTTATGTTTAGGTCAGGGATTCGGTCATCTGGATATTTTGGTTTTTTGAGCTTGTTTTTTGGCTTTCGATTTCGTTGTGTTTGGGACTTTCATTTGTATCCATTTGTTGGGTTGTCTGTTTATCTTTATCTGGTGTGTCTCTGTTTATGGTCAGGTTTTTTTGGTTTGACTTTGGTTTTGTTGGGCTTTTGTTTTGCGTCATCCCATGGGATTTGGGTTTACCCATTAGGCCTATGTTTGATCTTGATGCGTTACTTTCTGGTAAATCCATTGTTTTTATTATTTGCCCAGCCAGTGTTTCGTCTCCTTTCGGGTTTGGGTGGATGCCGTCATTTGAATAGAGTTCCGCTCCAAATGCGCTGGTTATATCAATGTAGTTTACATTCAACTGGTCGCACATGAATTTTAGTGCTTCGTTTAGTTGATCGGTGTAAGTGTTTGGTACATCCGCTCTGTAGAGTAGACTATGTACGTACCATCTTGTGTCTTTGTGTACTTTTTTTAAGGCCTCTATGGTGAGCCAGTATGGTCTCATTAGATGGTTAGGAGTAGTCGCTGTCGCTGCGTTGTTTGATCCTATATTTATTATAACTTTTGATGGGAGTTTGCTTCGTGAGCTGAGGTGTCTGCTGACGTCTGCAATTTTTCCACCAGGTATAATTTTGACGATGACATCTCGGATATCTGGGTTTATTTTGTGGACGGCTCCTCTGAGGATAGAGTCTCCTATGATTAGGGCTTTGTGCATATTTGTTTTTTCTAGTTTTTTACCGGTATGGTCTTGTGAGTTGGGTCTGGTGTTTATTTCGGGAAGGCTTGTAGTTTTTGTACTGCGATTTGTTTTTTCTAGTGGACCGCACACTTTTTTGTAGGTTTCTATGTTTTTCTTGAAATTTGTGTCATCACTCCCGTGTTGTCTTGTAAGAGGATCGCTGTCTGAAGCTGTTTTTGCATCGTCTATCAAGTGTCCTTGTAGGGAGCCCTTTGTAGTTTTGCGGATACTATGTATGGTTGCCTCGAGTTTATAATTTATTTCTATTTTTTTAGCTATGGTTTCAGATAATTTCAGAATGTCATTATTTTTTTCTTCTAGGCTGTTTTATAAGGTTTTCATGTCTTCCATCAAGATGTCAATGATTTGCTCATATTCCTTTACTTTATCTTCGTACATTGCAATAGTTTGATTCATTTTTTGTTCAGGGTTAGTTTCTTTTTCAGGTTCGATCATGGGTTTGTTCATGGAGTTGTTATTCTTCGGTCTAATATTAAGACAGGTTTTACATGTCCAGGTCATGGGGAAATTGTCATCTGTGATAGCTTTATATTGTTTGTTAGTTATCAAGGCACATTTTATATGGTACCAGTCATCACACTCGCATGCCACTGCTTTGTCGCTTTCATGTACAATTTGATCACAGATTTTGCAGTATGCCTTTCTGGCAATGTCATTTTCGTCTGATATTTCATCAGGTTTTGTCATTTTTTTTTTTTTTTTAGGTTAGGATTGATTTCAGGAGTGGGGGGTTGATAGGGGGTCTTTGGTGTAGGTCGGTTGGTGGGTGGTCCCTATCCTATCCCTAGTTTGGCCTTGTCTTAACCTAACTGTATTGTCCTAATGTATTATAATTGGGTACTGTATTGTCCTACTAGAACTTTAGAGTAGAGCAGATAACAATGTTTAATCTATGGTAGAACGCATGGTTTTGTACTCAAATCTGTATTGTTGTATGACTTGCTTTGTATGATAAGTGACTATAACATTGACGATTGCAATGCATGTTTTTCATGTTAAAAGCAAATAATGACATTAATGAGGAGCCACCATATCAACCACCTGCGAGGTGGGATACAAATTTTTCATATAATAAATTTACATGTGCTATACATTTACCTTCGTTCAGTTATAAATTAAACTCTTCCCGTTGCAATGTTAAATTAATAGTAAATTGTTCAGGGTTTACAATCATATTTTCTTACGTATGGACTAATTTATCTTCTTTTCTTTTATCTGCCTGTGGCGTGGGCATATCATCACCGACGTTTAATAATGTAATGTAGGGGCTATGATCGTGACGTCAGTTAACGTCACAGCAGCACAGTGTTGCCACTTTTAGGGTAATTACCCTTTTTTAGGGTAATTTACTGGTCTTAGGGTAAAGTTTAGGGTAATGGTAGATTTAGGGTAATTTTAGGGTAAAACTAAAAGTTAGAATAACAATGGAAATTTTACTACAAAAATGAAAAAAACTTCAAAATTTGGCAAAAAAACGTTCATTACATACTATGGCCAAACCATCATATTCGATTCAACCGGTTTAAATCGATTGCTATTATGAGTTTTTCATAATAAGTTATCCTAATCGATCTTATCAATAGTTGGGAATTATCTGTTTTAGAATGTATTCGATTCTATAACACGTTATAGGCCTAATCAAATATGAAATATTATTCATTAGGTACTGGGTTTGATATTTAATTATGTGATTGAATTGAATTAAACTGGATTATTTTACAAATTGTGTCAAGAAATTACTACTATGTACCGGTATAGATTAAAGCTTTGGTGGTACCGTACTGTATTTTAAAGATATGATTGTCCAAAAACAGTAGTAATGGGTCGATACAGTAAAAAAATACGATAGTTCTGATTCGATATTTTTTGTTATACGATAGTCGATAGAGCTGATCAATATCAACATTTTGTTCTTCTTTCGGGTGGTTTTTTAGAATTGAGTATAATTTTACGTAAATTGATTGATATTGGAACTTAATTTAGTATAATTAACCACCTTATGTAAGATTTATATGATTTTAACAATGTTTTATAGCATAAAACGCAAATATTAACATTTAGGGTAATTTTTAGGGTAACTCAAAGTAGATTTAGGGTAATTTAGGGTAATTTTAGCCCACCTTTAGGGTAAAATCACAACAACGTGGTGGCAACACTGCAGCAGCACGAACAGACATACTTCTTTTGACAATATGGCGAATATTTTGTTGAATATTGGGAGTGTTATTTGTAATTTTTTGGAAATGTCACTGTAAATTTTGGTGTTGGTGCTATTCAGAACACTATTTAACCAAGAGTCCTCTTACGAGGTAGGTGATCCTTACTTTTTAAGCACCGCTAATGAAATTAATTTGGGATATAATGGGCGTTCTAGCTCTCCGAGCTTCTTTCAATCCAAATTACGTAAATATTTATTAACTTTACTAAATTTACTTTTCTATGGAAATGTTTAACCTGTCCCTTTAGTCCTTATGTAATTAAGTGTGTAGTCCGTCAAAATCAATAATCTAGGCCTACTTCATGATACAATAAATGTTCAATTAGCCTTTTAGTGTTAAGGCTAGTTATGAGGGGGCAATGACAATTTAATCATGTGATAAACTCTCTAGCCTCAATGGAATTAAATTTGAGTGAAAAACGAAATATCTTTGATGTAAATTGGAAGTTAAAAAATAAACTGACCTATGATTAAATGAAGAAATTAAGTTAAGCCTATTTTTGTACTTTGGATTTAAGTTAGGCTAGTCTTGTTATGACATGACCTATGTTGCAACTGTAGGCCCTATATTAGTTTGTACAATACCAGATGTAAATCCTAAAAATAAAGCTAACTGATGCATGTAAGTTGTATGCTAACAAAATTTTCACAATAGGCCTATGTTTAAAACTCGTAAATCATTTACTTAACTTAAATTAGGCCTAACTTAAGTGTAGGCCTAGTGCTTAAGTGTTAAGGCAGTGGCCTTGGTAAAACTCTTACCAGGCTAATCTAATGTATAAGTTTATCGTACTTCTAGACAGGTTAGAAACAAGCCAATAAACCAAATTGATGGACTCTTGTAGCCTTAATAATTCGAACTACTGTAATATAGGCCTAAGGAAAGAATATCACTATGAATTTTAAGCAGTAGATTAAGTTTAGGCTGGGCTTAATTAGCTTACTGCACCTCATGATTGATGTTTTTGTTCTGTTTCTGTGTAAGGTTTTTAAAGTTACCTAAGCGTAATTTCATTGTTTGTTTGTAGGCCTAAACTTATTTACGTACATAAATAAGGTAAACGCACCAGTAGCTGACAGTATAAGAAACTATACGCACTTAATAATCCGTAGGTTTTGAATAAGTTAAATAGGAACTAAAGTGATATTATGGATTTTATGTGATTCTAAATTTAGTGTAGTTTTCAAATTTGTCATACAAAAAGGGTTTTTAAATATATTTTATAACATTTTTAAACTTAATTCAACCTTTGTATACGTGTTCCAGTGGCTGACAGTGAAAAAAGTGCTTGTACCAGTAGCTGACTGTCAGTTGTCCCAGTAGCTGACACTGGAACTATAAATGTACTAGCTGCTAAACCTAAGGGTTTTATAATTTATAAGACGAATAAAATCTAACTTAATAATTAAATTATAAAATCATGTAAAACGTTATTAAGAAAATTTATTTTACAAACCTATTTTATAATAAAAAATATACATTTTTTAAAGATAATTTGGATTAACTTATTAATAAAAAAAAATTAAAATGTGTGAAATCAAACACAAAATATTAAACATTAACTATTCATTAGGTTAATGCAGGATGGGTTTAGACTGCTAAAAACATGTTCTTTTATGTACTCTCATCTTCACAAAATATCCCCTGTCAGCTAGTGGAACTTGTATGGCTTTTGCGTACCAAAGCCTGACATTGATATAATTTTAAATCCAAAACCCCTAACACCCCAATTTTATCATGAAATTGTCAACAAAGGTATAATTAATAAAAATAATGAGCCTAATCATGAATACTTTTTAAGAAATTTAGCGAAATGACAAAAAACCAAACTTACCTTCTTAACAATTTCATTAAGGGAATCGACTAAATGTGATGTGTACAGACAGGGTCGCTTTCAAACCACCACCATTCAGCGAGTATGGGCTCAATTTCACTGATTTGCTTGTAAACAAATCAAGAATAAACATATGTTCTTCTAACAATGCAATCATGTGTACATATTTTTAAGAGACCACATTATAATGTAAAGAAACTCAAACTGTCAGCTTCTGGAGCACTGTCAGCTACTGGTGCATTTACCCTACTGTTTAGTCAATAACAAATGCATTAAGCTGAATCATTGTTTGAGTTGAATTGGTGTTAAGTTAGGCCTAATGTTTTCTGTCTTAACATGCCAAGCCATCTTGGCAATCATTCCGTACTATGTCTACTTTGGGAAAAGATTTAATTTTGATATGCCTACTTATACAGTTTTTTTCATGCTGAATCCAAAAATTTATTTATTTATTCCAACGGGAAACCCATTACATTTATACATTACAAAGAAATAACAATAAAAATCAAGGCAAGATGTGATAAATACTACAAATAATCAACAGCAACAGCAGCAACGTATTAACACAATAAGTCTAATAATAAAATAATAATTTATAATAATATATAATAATAATAAAATAGGCCTAATAATAAATAAAATAATAATAATTAATAAAAAAATGCAATCCGTTTTTGTTGGAGAGATTCCTAAGTGGCTGTAAAACGAATCAATTTGTTCTGAAACGAAATAATCAGCTCTTATTTAGACGTTGGGAAGGTAGGTTGGGTTTTATGCGATTCATGACTGTATTAAGTGTTTTGAAGTTAGGTTAGATTAGGAGGGTAAACTTTAGTTTAAAGAACCAACTCATTAATTTATGCTACCTCCAGACTGTTTTTGCATAATTAAAATAGTGGGTGAAACACAATAAAATAAGTTTTACAATATCTAAAATACTTGCACCCAAATTGCTTACATCTTGACCCCCAAATTTCTATCCCCCCCCCCAAACCAGTTTATTGGTGTACCGTACCTAATTAGTTGGTTTCAATTTCATTATTTTTAATGAGAGCCACAGAGAACAGACTGATGATCAAATTCTGTAGGCCTTAACACACTTAAGTTAAGTACTGTAACATCTTACAATGCACAAAGTTCAATGAATGGAGTGCTGTCACTATAATTTTAACTTAGGTAACCTTTAAAAATAAGTTAGGCCTACCAACCATACCTCATAAGTTAAGTTAAATTAACCATAAAACATGATGTTTCAGCATGACTTGTTCAATATAAGTTTCCTATTTGTTTATTAGGCTTACTTGAGATATAAGTTTGTATATTCCTAATAGACTTTTAGGCTTTTACACTAAGATGTAACTTATTATACTTACCACCATGGTCATGTCTGGCATATTATATTTTTATAATCACATAGCCTACCCTATTTACATTTTGTCCTTAAAAGGACTGATAGGCTATTTAAAATAATTATTGATTTTTTTGGCATTGATTTTAGGGCACGTGTAATGCAGAGGTAAAATACTTCTAGCTTGATGTAAGTTTTACTCGCAGAACTTTAAGCAACATGGCTGAAGCAGCTACAAATAACTCTGGCTTCTATCAGCTTAGTGTCACAAGTAAGTTTTTGATACGTAAGAAAATTGTAGGTAGTTGACTTTGAAAACAAGGCAGTGAAAAAAATATTACCTTGGAACTAACTTTAGTCATTACCATTGACTTTTGGATGGATTGAAGCTGAGGATACAGTTCCGCAGAAAACCTGCGATACATAAGGTTATCAGATCAAATATCGATATAGCCTACAGTATATCAATTTTAATTTTGTTTTATATATATCGCTTCTAAAATAAGCTATTTTTATTCGTAATGTAGGTCTAATTATTAAATAGGCCTAACAATTAGGCTATTGTACCGGTATGTTAAAAACAATAACTTAATTCAAGTTTAGATTTACTTTACTGAATTTAAACCTAAATTCAGGGCATTTTATGGAAACTGGTTTGAGTCGAGCTTTTAATATTGTCATCACAGAACTTATCTGTGAAGATTTAGAGTTAGAAAATTTCACGATTGCGGAGGACAATAATGATTAAACCGCTGGGAATGATGATGTCTACAAGACTGTAGAATGCTTTGAGGTTTTGCCAAGATTAGGGAAGATGATGATATTTCTGTGACCGGAGGACACGATGATGATGTCTTCGTCTATAAGATTTTGAGATGATTATGATGTTTTCTTGACCGCAGGAGACAATGTCTACACTACGGTGATAAATTTATTGGAATTATGTTACTAAAACATAAATGGGTACCTACCCACTGATAAATACTGACTCTTTAAGGATATTGCCGTGATCACAGATTGTGCCTTCTTTAATAACAATTCTTACTACAGTAGATTTAAGTTTTAAAATTCTTGCTCTAAGCAATTTAGATTATTTAAATTCAATAAACTCTACTATAATTTTAATATGTTATTTAAGATTTTGTGTATTTCAGTTGAGTGTGCTCATCTTCGCAATGGTGGAAGTTTCCTAAAGCCCAATCCATATGTGGAGCTGTCAGTGGACGAGAAACCACCACGCAAGACTGAAGTCGTCAAGTGCACTTACCAGCCCAAGTGGAATGAAGAGTTCACTGTGTAAGTTATATTATTTTGCTTAATGAATAGATCTATCTTATAAACTTATACAAAATCTTGTTGCTAGCCTAAAGTGAGGTTTTAATCCTGGAGAACTCACATGTCAGACAAAAAAACAGCAGAGCTAGCACTTTTTCTTTCAACAGAGAGTTTAGATTTTTAGTCAACAGAGTAGATGCTATAGTACCTCAAGTACTTATTACCAGAAACAGAATGCTTTACTTTCCATACTCGCCCTACTTTCATATTCAGTGCAACAAACATTTAGCCTATATAAAAGACTGGGTGATAAGGCCTACTCTACTGAATGTTATAAATTTTCCTATTAATATTTTAATTGGGTCAAATTCATTGTTTTTCCTAAACTGTACAAACCTGTTTTCAACATTCTAGATTTTAAAATGGTAAACACGTTACAAACACTAACTGTTTTTTTTTAATTTTTTATGTGAATGCCTAATTTTGTGTTTTCACTGGTTGGTAAAAAAATTTAGTGATTGTGTGGAAAATTATTCTTTTTATTGGTAAAAGAGGAATTGTGTAAGCTGAGCAAGTTGTCCAAAGCTACACAATCAAAGTTGACCACACAATCAAGGGGATGAAACATGTTGCCATACAGTAATGTGTAATGTCTAACAGTGATGTTAAAGTGTATGTGATTGTTAACAGGCTGGTCACACCTTACTCCTTTCTCCACTTCCGACTGTTGGATCACAGCACGTTCCGCAGGGATGCGATAGTAGGGGAGAAGCGACTCAGCTTGTACGATGTGCTGGCACACTACAACGGCCGCTGCGAACATCTTGAGGTTAGTTTTGTCACTAAGGTATTGTTAGGTACATTTTAAGGGCAAGCCAAGTGACTGACTTGAACAAGTATATTTGAAAAGGGATAGTGTTCAGCTTTGTTACAGCTAGGGAAATGAATGCCCAGGGCTAATAAATGCACAATGAAAGTTTGAACGTAGGTTTTCAGGTAAGTAAAAATCCTAACTCCAGACACTAGGTTTATGGGTGGAAATAAAGGAAAAATCAATATTTAAACTTTTCAAAAAATGCTTTGTTTACCAGATACTCACAGTTTTGAATTTTTTACTAAAAAAGTTCTTCTTTAATCTTTATGAAAATTGGCACGTGTATTAAGGTAAAAAATACCTATTGTGGAAAACAAATCCAACTTGGCTCAATTAAAAATTTTACAATAACGGCCTTTAAAGTTTTCATTTTTCAGTTACATAAAACAAGCAACTCAATCAAAATTTTACACAGTATTATATTTGAAGCTCTTTAAAATCCAAATCCCATGCAAAGGGTACATTAATTGTAAAAATCAGTAACTGTAATAAATAAATAAACTAGTCATGAAATTTCAATGTAAAATTCAAAATGGCAACCATTTTGTTTTATGTACGACATTCCAGATCCTCAAGACACCTAAATTTATATAATCGACACTTGCTAGATGAAGAGGTGAACTAGGCCTACATGTACTATGAAATTATGTAGCCTATATGTATTTACGTAGGTATATGTCCCTTTGTCTTGCAAGCGACAACGTTTTGCTACTTATTTGATCACTTATAGTATCTTTAGGATTTTAAACATTATAAACATGAAGAACAAAATGGCCGCTATTTATACCTACTGGACCCTGTATAACACTATAATAACATTAGCTTGCTTTATTACAGGTTACATAGTTACATAGGTTACATAGGTTACTACTTTTTTCCTAGTCAATGCAGTCACCTGACAAGCAAATGTTATGACTTTCATTAAACCTCCTGTGTTTATTTTGCTTAGGTGACTCTGGATTTGATGTCCGAGGCCAAGAATGATCAGACCCCGGTTAAGGTGGGTGACCTGATAGTTCTGCTGGACGGTCTAAAAATAGACATGACATCATGTCCACCCCCTCCCCCCCGCCACATCACACCGTTAGGTATGTACGGTACCAAACTTTATTTGCCTTACAATATAAATTGTAAAATTATAAGTTAGAAAGTTCTAATCTAAAAAGCACTGATGAAGTCGTCAATTTTGTAGTGCGCGAACGCTCACTATCATGTAAGAAATTCGAGATTCGACGGCAATGGCGAGGAATTGATTTTACCAAGATCGCGGCAGTCAATGGGGTATTCACGACTGTGGGACCCAACCGTTAGAACATGTTTACGATTTCACTGTGATTGCAGGAGACATTTATGAATTTACCGTGACTTCATTGGCTAATTGTTAAAAATTTTTTCACAATTGTTGGAGATGTATAATTTATTTTGGCTCTGTTGTTGAGTAATGATTTAGAACAGGGTGTCCACCGACCTGGAAAACCGGGAATTATGCTTGAATTTTGTATTTTACCGGAAATTTCAATTTGCCATGATCCCATATGAAGGTGACATTTCCGTGACCGCAGGAGACAGTGATAATGTCCAAACAGCCGTGGGATTTGTTAGTGATTTTGCAGCAATTGCGCATGACGACGACGACGTTTCTGTGACCGCGGGAGACGATGATGATGTGAAAACTCCAAACAGGGGTGGAATTTTGCTGCGAGTTTGCTGCGATCGCACGCCAACAACGTTTTCATGACGTTTTCGTGACCGCGGGAAACGATGATGATGTCCAAAAACTATTGCTTGACAATGATGACTGCGGGAAATTATTAGAACTAAGCTACGACTCGCGGAAGATGATGATAACTTTTCTGTGATTGCGGGAGACGATTATAATGTTTCTGTTCCCCCGGAAAGATACCAGGATTTTGTCACAATCACGGAAGACAGTGGTGATGTTTCCGTTACTGAGGGAGATATTCAGGATTTTGCAGTTATCGCTTACTATGTGAAATCGGCTATGTGAAATTTTTGTAATAGGCCTATCTGCATTAATGATTTATGTAGGCCACTTGAAAAACAACCCATAACTCCAAAATTGCATACTATATGAAAGTACATAAAGACAGAGGTTTGTGTAGTAATCCTTACAGAAAATTTGGTAAAATCAGTAATATACAGGGTGAGTTTGAAATGAGATCCCCCCTACTTTTTTCTACATTTCTTAAGATATCAACTCCGAACCAAGTCAGATCATTGTAGAGTAGTAAGTACTTCATTTTGACTGGGTTTAAATTTTTGGCTTCCATCTTGGATCCGCCATATTGGATACAAAGTTATTTTTTCAAATGTAAAGGTAGGGTTGTGACCCACCGTTTCAAACTAAATATTTATGCTGAATACGATGCTGCAATCCGTTTTTTAAAAATATTGATCTATTCTAAAGTTATGAGAACTTTTTATAACTTTATTTTTAGCCCATTATAACATTGTTCATTTACAAACTAAGGCCATAATTTCAAAATAGTACTAGATAAAGATAAGTGGACACCACCATTCATTGTTGACCTATTTTCACGTGGTGAACGGATGTATTTATTTTCAGCCGCCATCTTGGATCCACCATTTTGAAATGTGATAAATTATTTTAATACCCCCGCTTCAGCAAACCTGCAGACTAAGCGAATTTCCATTAGCCTGATAGGATTCACACTAAAACGCCTCCTTAAAAATATCATATTTATTCCCTATTTAAATAGAATTAGTTTAACGAGTACTTAGGTTTGCTGCCACAGGGAGGGTAAAAAGGTGGTTTTTTAATGTTAATAGTTTAGTAAGAAATTAATGTATTTTCCAAATTCAATCAAAATATGTTCATAAACAAGCAAACTACAACAGTTGACTTATTCTCCATAAGAATAACATGGGGATTTTAAATTTACAGTTTTTTTGAATTTTCTCCAAAACCATTAGGCGCACAATAACGCTTCAATATACTAAATTATTTGTTTTTTATGCTCTACAAAATGGTGTGAAAAGAAATTGTAAAATTTTGTGTTTTTAGGGCCAAAAACGGAAAAAAACCTATTTTTACCCCATAAAACCCCCCATAAACCCCCGATCCCATAGTCCAATCATGCTGGTTCGCGAAGTTGTTCGAATAAATGTAGGTTTACACGTTTGTACCAAATTTCATCAAAATTGGATCATTTTTGATCGAGTTATCGTACTAACTGACACACATATATACGAATTTGAACGGATGGTGTTTTTGGCCTCTAGGCACCTCAAAATGAAGAAATAAATCGGTCCCGGGTCCAGGTCTTACCATGAGTACTACGGTAATAGCTTATTCCCCATATATTATGGGAAATTCGCTAAAAATGAAGGTGGTGTTGTGACCCATCATATAGAACTACTTTTTTATGCTGAACTTAATGCCGCAATCCGTTTTTTGTTATCAAGCTTTCTTGATAAAATATTACAATCATTTTATTTAAAATGTCAATATTTTAAAAACCAAATATGACAATGAAAAACGAATTGCGGCATTGAGTTCAGCATAAAAAAGTAGTACCAAATGATGGGTCACAAAACCACCTTCATATTTAAAATAATTTATCACATTACAAAATGGCAGATCCAATATGGCGGCTGACAAAAATACATCCGTCATAACCAAGTAAAAATAGGTCCACAGTGAATGGTGGTGTCCACTTATCTTTATGTAGCACTATTTTGAGATTATGGCCTTAGTTTGTAAATGCACAATGTAATGTTAATGTTAACTTTATTTTTAGCCCATTGCTAAAAATAAAGTTATAAAAAGTTCTCATAATTTTAGAATGGATCAATATTTTTAAAAAACGGATTGCAGCATCGTATTCAGCGTAAAAATTTAGTTTGAAACGGTGGGTCACAACCCTATCTTTACATTTGAAAAAATAACTTTGTATCCAATATGGCGGATCCAAGTAGGCCGTTAAAAATTTAAACCCAGTCAAAATGAACTACTTACTACTCTACAATTATCTGACGTAGTCCGGAGTTGATATCTTAAGAAATGTAGACGAAATTAGGGGGGGATCTCATTTCAAACTCACCCTGTATAAAAATTGCATACTTGTGTCAGGAAATAAAGTAATTGTAAATTTTGTTTCTTTAACTCTAAGAATGTTGTTTCTCTCTTTATTTCCGATAACTAAAATAGCGAACTGTGTTAGCGCTAAAACAACATTGTGGGAGTTGGCGCAAAAGTGCGTTGGAATGTTAAGTATGAAAAGTACGACCAGAACTACCTGTAATTACTCATGAATTTTTTCTGGTTGGCCTGGTGGACACTCTGTAGAAAAAAGCGACAACTAATAATAACTTAGACTTAACAGAGACGTATGCAGGATTGAGGAGTTTATGAACTGTGTTCAATGCAGAACACTAAAACTAATACCTCACAATTTCAGAGGTTAGTATAACACAGATAGGATAATCAAAGCATTATTGTAATGTTAGGCCTATCTAGTTAAATTCCAGCATTGGTAAAGCCAAGGGTTTTGACTTTTTCCATATACAAACTAAAATCCCTAAACATTCTGAGATTTGATCCCTGTCCTGTCTATTTTTCATTCCAATTGTAACTTATATGTTGTATGTCTACTGTATTGCAGCCCCCACCAACACTGACACGACCAACCGCAGTGTGCTAAACGGAGGTGTGAGAGCTCGCAGTCGCCCCCCTGGAACGGAGAACACCCAGCCCTCAGCTACCCAGGGCTCGGTGGTACTGCCAGAGCTTCCTACACGGCCTGTGCCCTCTGGTGAGTTGACCAACTGCGTTGTTATAGTATTGCAATAAACAAGTCTGGACCCGATATACTCCCTTATGGCATCCCCATTTTAATTTGTGGTAGAATGACCATCAGAGGTCAGATTAGCGAGGTTCTACTGTACCTGATAAACAAATCAGTCATCCGTATCCTACACGCTCAAAATCTTTTCAATATCCAAGACATTGCCTATGATATGAAATACCCCCGCCGCAGCAAACCTGCAGACTAAGCGAATTTCAACTCGTCTTATTACATTTTTGCTCAAATATTTCCATATATAAGACATATTTTTATCCCCTATTTAAATAACATTAGATTTAACGAGTGCTTAGGTTTGCTGCTACGGGAAAGGTAAAAAGTGTTTTTTGACTATATGTCAATAGTATAGGATGAAATAAATAAATTTGCCAAATTTTATCAATATATATCCATAAACAAGTAAACTACAACAATTTTCATTTTCTCCATAAGAATAATATGGGAATTTTAAATTACACTATTTTTTAATTTTCTCCGTGACCGTTAGGCATACAACAGCGCTTCAATATACTAAATTATTTATTTTTTTAAGCTCTACAAAACGGTTTAAAAAGAAATTGCAAAATTTTTTATTTTTAGGGTCAAAAATGGGAAAACCCCATTTTTACCCCACAATACCCCCCGTAAACCCCCGTTCCCATAGTCCGATCATGCTGGTTCGCGAACTCGTTCGAATAAACGTAGGTTTATACCAAATTTCATCGAAATCGGATCATTTTTGCTCGAGTTATCGCGCTAACGGACACATATATAAATATATATATAAATATATATATATATATATATATAAATTTGAACGATTAGTGTTTTTGGCCTCTGGGTACATCAAAATGAAAAAGTAAATCGGTCCCGCGCCCAGGTCTTACCATGAGACCTACGGTAATAGCTACTTCCCTATAGGGAAATTCGCTAAAATCTCCTTATTATATCGGATTAAGGCTTTACAACAGTCTACCCACTAATTTCAAAGAAATTAACAGTATTTCAAAATTTAAAAATGATTTCAAACAATACCTTTTACAGAAAAATTATTATTTGTTTTCTGATTATTGGAATGATAAGTAAATGTATTTTAGCTTAAGCTATGTAGATTTTAGTTTTATTTTGTAGTGTTTAAGATCTCTGACAATATCACCTGTTTCACCAGCTAACGCTGGATTTGTGAAATTCTTTGTGACATGTAATAAAGTAATATTTCATTTAGTATATTTCATTTCAAAACCGGGAAAAAGCCGGGTTTTTTATTTTAGCCCCGGTAGAAGATTGCAATTGTAAAACCCGTATTTGCCCCGATCGCGGAAGACTATGATGACGCTTCCGTGACCATGGGAGACGACGATGACGTCCACACGGCCGCAGAAAATATTCATGATTTTGCCACGATCGCTGACGATTGTTAATCTTATGGGAGAAAAATCAACTTTGATGGAAGATCCTGCCCAAACTAATAAAGATTTCAAAAAATGAAAAACACTTTGCAAAACTACAGATCAGGGCCATTTTTTGACGCCTTAAGAATTAAAATCGGTTCAAAAATGTGGAAGGAGTTCTGTTTACAAAAATCGACTTAGCGTATTATATATATAGATTATTTATTGAAACCTTTACCTTACTTATTTTTTATAAAAAAAAAAATATAAAAAAATTGGGACAAATGTGTAATGGGCCAACTGTTACAGTGAGGAGTGTGATGTCTAATGCAGCTCCCCAGTCTGTTGTGCCTTCAATACAGAATGGTGCTGGTCCCCCGCCCCCGCCTAGCTCCACCACTGAGGCTGCCCCCGCCAACGGGGAGACTAATGCTCAGGAGGAGCCACTACCTGCTGGGTGAGTACCTACATCAGTGGTCTGCGGGCCACACTTTCTTACTTTCTCCTATTATGGTGTAAGTGTTTTTTTCAACGTTTTAACATTTTTGTTTTTGGTTGTGCATGTGCATGTTTGTGTTCAGTTTAAGAATCTTTAATCAAACTGGTTGTTCTGCCCGTGCCTCACCACGGGGAGAGAACGCAGAAAAGATATATGGCGATTCTTTACCGCCTCATCCAATGCAAACTGCTGGATTATTAAGCGCTTGTTCTTGATGTAAATTAATTTTATCAATGTCCATGTTACAAGGTAAATGTGTTTTTTCCCAGTCGGGCACATAAAGCTCCTTCCAATTTCTATAGTTCTTGTGTCACTTAATTATTATATACACAACATTTGCTTGCAAAATCAATAAATTCTAATTGCTGTGTTTTAAAATTTATAATACTAACTAATAAGTAAACAATTGAACAACAATTGAAACAATTGAAACAGAATTTAACACGTTCGCTACCGAGCGTCGCATATATGCGACGTCGCGATCATTGCCACGGACCGTGGTATTCAATATAATCTCACATAGATCGGCTGTCACTTGGTTAACAGTACACACAGACCACGGGCGAAAACCTGTTTAACAGTGATAATTTACTTTGTAATACGCTGCAATTGTGTTTGTAAATAATATATTCTTGTTTATTTTTTATATTTTTAATAACCTTTTGTAATATTGCATATATGCGACGACAGTCTATGGGTAGAAACGGGCTGTCGCATATGTGCGTCGCTTGTGATATGCAGAAAACCCCCTCACTCTTCACAGGTTATCCTGCATATACACATGGGAGCGTAGCTTTAGTGAAAACCGGATCTTTAACTTTATATAACTCTAGTTATGAGCTGGGTGGCTGTTAAATGAGAGGACCATATTTAATTCAAAGTATTGAACCTTTTATTATCTTAAATCAATCAACTATCCTATACAACAATAAAACCATTATTGACAACAACCCCACTAACGCTCCTTTCACACTATACGATTTTGCTCGTACGAGTGTTAATCGTACGGGCAGATGATCGTGGGTCTGTTGCTTTCACACCATACGATTTAAAAAAATCTTAACCCCCACTCCACTAGAACAGAGTTCATTGACATTTTAGTGGAAAGTTTTAAGTCGTATGGATCGCCAGGAAATTATTGCTACTTTGATAATTTATCGGAGAAAAATAAATTTAATAATAGTCGTATTTAAATTTGGGACGTGAGGAAGTGGGGATGTTTAAAACATTATTTCAATGACGAAGAAAAGTTTTTCAACTATTTTCGGATTTTAATAGAATCGTTTAAAGCTTCAAGATCAATCACATTTATAATTTTAACTATATAGACAAAACTGTAATTAATAACAAAAACTAAGTAATAAAATACAGTATGCAAAGGTAGTTTAACTCAATAATTAAACAATTAAACAACTGTAAACGCAAAATATCTGAAAACTATACGCAACAAACTGCACTTGGGGGAGGACTCCCGCACGACTACAATCGTGTAGTGTGAAAGGGGCCATATGGTCACATGGCCACTAGCAGTAGACACGATTTTTACTCGTGCGGGAGTCGGATACCAACCGTGTGCACCTACGGTCTCTACGCGGGTGAAACTCGTACACGGTTGGTAATCGTATAATGTGAAAGGGGCCATAAGCTCCAATGCGATACAACAAATACGATTAATAACCGCACGAGCGAAATCGTATAGTGTGAAGGGAGCGTAATGAATGGCTGCTAGGAAACGTCCTGGAGGCAGCTAGAAAATCCCTAAAGAGGAATCTACTTCCTCGTAATTTAATCAAACAAAATTTCCGACCCAAAAGAATTTCCCTTATCAAAAAAACACAAATCCTAATTAACTTATAATCCCAGTAAAACAAAGTTTCCCCTTACAAAGACTCGTGACTAAAGAGCCTAACCCTAAGATAGAGCAACCAGTACTCACCCAACTCTTCTGGGCACCCTGCCCTGGGCGACTGACCCCTTTCTCTACCTCAGGTGGCCTATTTATTCAACCCAATAGCTACTGAGTGCAAAGCCCTCGGTGTTTACAAAACAAACCTCCAGCACGCTTCATAGCAAGCAAGGCTGACCACAGGTCATCAACCTAACTTGCCTAGGCTACCCTCGATTACATGCTGGTCTATATGAATGAAAAATTTTGTACTATTGCGGTAGCGAACGTGTTAAGGGTTTGAACACTTATCTCACAGTATCAGAAAAACATACGGTCACTTCTCTTTAAGCGTTTATCCTAAATAATTTTACCCATTTCACCATTGTTTTCCAATCTGGAACAGCGCCATGTTGACCAAGGATGGAATGTGGTCCAAACAATCTCTGGGTTTTGCACAAAAATCACTATTTTTAAAATAGGTTTCCACATCAAAATCTCAGTGTTAATAGCCTCAGGCATAATATTTACTGAAATGGCATAGTTTAATTGACATTATAAGCACAGCTGATCATTCGTTGTTGCAACAATTAACATGTGACAGCTAAAACAAATTGTGGCGTTCTCATTGCCTCACCCTATAGAAATGTATGGTAAAAATTAAAAGGTTAGCTCATGAAAAAGTAAACAAACTAACTAAAACAAAAACAAATATAACAGCTGATGTATCTCTAATATTTAAAATATGATTTAAAATGCATGACATTTATTGACGATCTTGCCTTTAGGAGAGGGTTTATCGAAAAACTGATATTTTGTGGGGTAGTTTCACATCAAGACCTTTCATTCGAGTATGGGGTTGATAGGTATGCGGCTTACGATTTTCTCAAAAGTTCAAAAATAGATAGAAATGCTTTTAAACAATTATTTCATGTTCAACCATGTGTTGCAACAGTTGAAAAACTTTTATCTACATACTATAATATAATTATTGTCTCGATTATGATATGCAAAATCCACTCATCAAAAAAGTTCAAAACAATACAATTTATTGACATTTAAACTAATATTTTTATTTTTATGCTATAGTCAAAATAATTACTAAATTTCATTCAAGTGTTGGCTCCAGAATAAATTTTTTCTTTGTGATTTTTGGTTATCAGAAGTAGTAGTCTTTACTTTTAGATTTTAAAACACAAAATTATTTAGTAGGCCTAGTACAATTTTTTCAATGCATAGAAAGGACTAGCAGATAGTGTTAAGTGATTTATTTACAAGGAAACTGTTGAAGTTTGAGTGTTTGCAAGTTTACGTAACTGTTGTCAGGTGGGAGATGAGATATGATGTGTACGGACGACGCTACTACGTTGACCACAACAGTAGAAGTACCTCATGGGAGAGACCCCAGCCGCTGCCCCCCGGCTGGGAGATACGGAGAGACTCTAGAGGTAGGAAGTCTTTTAGCCTGAAACTGTTTTACATGTTACTAGAAGCTTGTCGCTAGAGAGTCGTGGCATCATCACATGGCTAAAATTCATTGATAATTGGCTGATTTTGAACATGGAGAATAATATGATAGGCTACGCATCTTTTTTATTACCTTTTAGCGAATTTCCCTATAGGGAAGTAGCTATTACCATAGGTGGTATGGTAAGACCTAGGCCCGGGACCGCTTTACTTTTTCATTGTGATGTCCCAGAGGCCAAAAACAACATTCGTTCAAATTTGTATATATAGATTTTTTAATATATATATGTGTCCTAACTTAAGATTTTTTTCAAATTTTGATGAAATTTGGTTTTAAGGTGTAAGGCGGGATAAACTTGAATGAGTTTGCATTCACCAGCATGATCAGACCATGGGAACGGGGTTTTACGGGGGTTTATGGGGTAAAAATTGGTTTTTCTAATTTTTGACCCTCTAAATTTCTCTCCAGACCTTATTAAAGAGCTTAAAAAAAATAATAATAATAATTAAGTAATTCAAAGTATTTTTGTACAATTATTGGCTACAGGGAAAATTAAAAAAAAATTTTATTTGAAAATTCCCATGTTATTCTTATGGCGAATATTGTAAAATGTTGTAGTTTGCTTGTTTATGGATATATGGATCAAACTTGGTAAATTTATTTATTTTATACTAAGTTATTAATATTTTTAATAAAAAATACACTTTTTACTCTCCCTGTAGCAGCAAGCCTATGTACTCAGAAAACCTAAATGTTAATTAAATACATTTAATTGAAAATCAATTCAGGCAACTGGAAATTCGCTTAGTCGGCAGGTTTGCTGCGGCGGGGGTATTTTATTTTATCATATTATTTGTACATCTGTCTTGGTGGTAAAAATTTTTGAACATGGAGACTCTGGGACTGAAGCCCTGTGCTCTACTACTAAACCCGCTCGCTCTTAGAGATAGGAAGTAGAAAGAATGCGGAAAAAATTAACCTCAAAGAAAAGGTGCACAACTAGTTTAATAGAGAACATTTTTTCTTGGGAACTAGATGAACTAAAAAAGATTTATTGGTTTCATTTTTATGAATCTAACTTTTTGCAAAAGATATTTTTTAAGGAAAGACTCTAGGCCAGGACATCAATTATTATAACAAAGGGAAAATATTAGTTAGCGTACGGTACCTGATAGACCATTGCTAACACTGAAGACACAAAAAAGTATGGCATTCCTAGTAATCTAGTAAAGTGAGTCGGTAGCGTCGCAGACTTCAGGCCCAAGGCAGCAATGTCGTGGGTTTGGATCCTGGTCACTTCCGAAAACATTTTTATCAGTACAGATCACCTTTGTACTGTACTGGCTCACTCCTTGCTTTGCTGTATACAATCCTCGCACGGGCAAGGAATTCTATGTGGACGGGCAAATGCAAAGTTTAAAGAGGCCGCCGACCTCTTAAAATAAATCCATTACCATAGTAGGCCTACAATGCCTATATTATTTTGTTATGCTCTTTGTTAATAGGAATCACGCTGCGATCCGTGTTATTTCTCTTGCTCGTTCAAACAGCCCAGACTATGTTACAAAATGATATGGTATTCTTAGAAATCTTTTACAAAGGTCACATCTCAGTAATAGTATTATTTATCCTATTGTGATAAAAAATAACGACCTCTTCTAACTAAAGTGTTGTGTTTCTACAGGTAGGATATACTATGTGGACCACAACACTCGCACAACAACATGGCAGCGGCCCAACACTGAGAGGCTACAGCATTACCAGCAATGGCAGGGAGAACGGGCACATGTGGTACAGCAAGGCAATCAGAGGTTCCTCTACCCTCAGGTACAATAGGCAATACACAAGCTACATAAACCTTATAAAAGGCTTAGCTTTGTCTTTTAAGTACATGTTGAATCAGCCTTTTTAGTTTTCATTTCCTAAACAGTAACAAAGCTTGAACCAACTGAATTAAAAACTAGTGATTGGTCGGTACCACTTTTTCAATGTCGGTACCGGTTCCTAACCAAAATCGATTCTCGGTTCCGGTACCATAGGTACCTCATTTTAAATTACACTACTTCATTGTTTTATTTTTTAAACAAAATACAGTATCGCTATTTCAATTTTTAAAAACTGATTATTTTTCATTAGTGTAGGTTCGTTATATTAAGATACTAAGTAAAATATAAAGTCAAATTTTAGTAAAGACTGATTTTCACAATAGGTTATCAACGTTTACAAATTTTACTAGGGTTTAAAACGAGCTACTCCGACTTTTTCAAATTTTAAATCAAGACTAACTTTTACCGATCAAAATCAGTTGCGTTATACATGTTTGTTTGTTTTGTCAGCAGCAGCCGAGCCCAGCTGTCAACTCTGGTGCGGCCGCCAAGGTGGAGGAGGAGGATGCTCTGGGACCGTTGCCCAAGGACTGGGAGAAGAGAGTACAACCTGACGGCAGAGTGTACTTTGTCAACCACAAGAACAGAACCACTCAGTGGGAGGACCCCAGGACACAAGGGTAAGTCACCTGTCTGGTAGATTGTAGGATGCTCTGGGACCGTTGCCCAAGGACTGGGAGAAGAGAGTACAACCTGACGGCAGAGTGTACTTTGTCAACCACAAGAACAGAACCACTCAGTGGGAGGACCCCAGGACACAAGGGTAAGTCACCTGTCTGGTAGATTGTAGGATGCTCTGGGACCGTTGCCCAAGGACTGGGAGAAGAGAGTACAACCTGACGGCAGAGTGTACTTTGTCAACCACAATAACAGAACCACTCAGTGGGAGGACCCCAGGACACAAGGGTAAGTCACCTGTCTGGTAGATTGTAGGATGCTCTGGGACCGTTGCCCAAGGACTGGGAGAAGAGAGTACAACCTGACGGCAGAGTGTACTTTGTCAACCACAAGAACAGAACCACTCAGTGGGAGGACCCCAGGACACAAGGGTAAGTCACCTGTCTGGTAGATTTAGATTGTAGGATCCTCTGGGACCGTTGCCCAAGGACTGGGAGAAGAGAGTACAACCTGACGTCAGAGTGTACTTTGACAACCACAAGAACAGAACCACTCAGTGGGAGGACCCCAGGACACAAGGGTAAGTCACCTGTCTGGTAGATTGTAGGATGCTCTGGGACCGTTGCCCAAGGACTGGGAGAAGAGAGTACAACCTGACGGCAGAGTGTACTTTGTCAACCACAATAACAGAACCACTCAGTGGGAGGACCCCAGGACACAAGGGTAAGTCACCTGTCTGGTAGATTGTAGGATGCTCTGGGACCGTTGCCCAAGGACTGGCAGAAGAGAGTACATCCTGACGGCAGAGTGTACTTTGTCAACCACAAGAACAGAACTACTCAGTGGCAGGACCCCAGGACACAAGGGTAAGTCACCTGTCTGGTAGATTGTAGGATGCAAACAGGTAGCTGCTGGAGTTTTTATTTTATTCTAAGCTTTAGTCTGTTTGATGTGTCACACAAATAAAATTTCACCAAAGTTTGAATTTTGTATCACAAGTTAGGAATAGGAAATAAGGCAAGATTCCTGAGGCATAGTTGCTTTAGGTCTTGGGGTAACATTTAATAGAGATAGTAGTAAAGTTGCAGGTATTGAGTATTAATTAGAGATGGGCCGATACCAAAAATTGTCGATACCGATACAACCAAAGTCCTCTCGATACCATCGATACCGATACTTCCGATACCTATCAAAATAACAGCTGGAATAAAATAAAACAATAATTTTAATATGAACATATTTATTGTCAACAGTAAATAACCAGAATATCTTTGTTCATACATACACATTTTTGTATATGTAGGCCTATACACATTTATGGATCCTCGTCACTATATCAGTTTTCAAACTCGAGAATTATTATTATTATTATTATTTATTTCCAAAAAATACAAATTTACAAAACACATACAATTCCAAGCCACAAAAGCCAATATGGCTTGTCTTGCAGCAAGGGAGCAGGGGCAGCAAGGGGGGGCTTGTCTGAATTAGGGGATCAAAATAAGCCAATCATCAAACTCGAGAACACATTAAATTCTTGGGATTGGAAATTGATAAAAATTTGAAATGTAACAGTCACGTTGAAAAGTTACTTGCCAAAATCACATCAGGATTATATGCTTTATCTAGATTGAAACCCTTATGTGAAAAACAAACTCTAAAAGTTATATATTTTTCATATATCCACTCAAGTATATCTTTTGGGATTTCACTTTATGGTGCAACTAGTGATTACAATTTAAATTCTATTCTAAAAAAGCAAATGAAAGCTATTAGAATCATCTGCAATTTAGAGTTTGAATTTTCTGTTAATAAAGAACATTTTAAATCAGAAAATATAATGACAATTTACAGAATGTACGTTTTTGAAACAATTTTATCAGTAAACGACAGACTTCATGATTTGGAACGAGTTGGGGATAGTCATAATTATTTCACCAGAAATCGGGAAAACCTTGCAATTGGCCACCATAGTCCAAAACTTTTTGAGAAAAAACCCATATATGCGGGATCAAAATTTTATAATAATCTCCCAATCGAAATTAAATCAGAGAATTCCAAAACTATATTTAAAAATAAATTAAAAAGATTTCTCATCAGCAAGGCTATTTTTTCTTTTGAAGAGTTGAATAGTATTTAAAGGCCAAAAACTAATTCAGGATATGTATTTTTTTTTGTTTACAATTTATTAAAAAAAATGTAAGTTTGTGAAGTTAAATTTTGTTTTATTTTCTTGTGTTACAAATGTATTTAATAAATATTAGGCCTACTTGCAGCTGAACTGTTGACACTATTCAATGTATTTTGTACAAGAGATGAATAAAGTAGTTTTGAATTGAATTGAATTGAATATCGTGGTCTAGGCCTATATTTTCTTCCACGACTGTAGATTTGTTCAATTTCCTCTGAAAAATTCACATAATGGTGAAGTTTCAGATGTTTAATGAGGTTAGAAGTCGCACAAGACTTACCCCCACGAGAAATATCTTTTTGCACAGATTACATTTTGCCACATCCACTACTTTCACTAATAATATTAAGGCCCACATATAACATTTACGCTTAGACCTACTCATATTAAATAAAAAACTATATCATTCATTAACTAAAATCAAAAGAAATTCAATTTGAAACAATGTGAAATAACAATAACATAACCTCAACAGTCAACATACGGATGGATCATACGACATACACTGTAACTGCAACACCTCGATCGTGCATAACAGGACCACTGCATCTCTAAAATGCTAACCGTAATTGGTTTATCGTCTTCCTCCGATCCAAAACCAGCCAATGAGAAATGTTCTAATAAGTTAGTAAATACACTAGCACTCGGTGCGGCGTTCAACAACAATACAAGTTTCAATGTCGCTAAAACATAGCTTGTGATTGGTTGATTGTCGTCGCAGGGCAGTAGGTGAGCCAATGAGATTGTGTCTATTATAGAATGCCAAGGACACTAGCGCTTGCAGTGGTGATCAACCAAACCTAGTATCCACGTCGCTATAACATGACACGTGATTGGCCGAACATCGTCTCTAAGTGGCAAACTAGCCAATGAGGTTGTGTCTATCAAATTGCAAGGCCAATAGTGCGCAGCAATATGCCGCAGTGGTGATCAACCAAACCAAATATCATCCCTGGAGTTGAAAACTAGCCAATGAGGTTGTCTCTAATAAGTAGGCACTCTAACAGCTAGGATTCGTAACGGCAATTTACCCGCTCTGAACTGACTTAATCCGCACCGATTCGTACCGTTCAGTGGTTCAGTGTCAGAATCGGTATCAAACCCAAAACAGGTAAGTATCGACTATACCTCGATACCGCTGGTATCGAGAGTATTTTGGTATCGAGTATCGGTATCGGCCCACCTCTAGTATTAATTAATTCCACTTCTTGTGTGACAGAAACTTACCAGTCATGTGACGAGTTTTGGGATTGATTATAAAAAGCTAGATGTATAGTGTTAAAAGAATTAGCCAAAGATGCCTAAGACAAAAAATGAAGACATCTTGAGCAAGCTCATCAATTAATACTTTAAATTGATGTTATTTGGTCCAGGATCACTTCTTGAATATTAAAATGGTATAATATTACCTGTTTCCGTCTGTGATCCTATATTTGTTGTATAGAGCAACCGGTTTCAAGGTTATAACCTCATCTTCAGGCTCTTGTTGTCACTCTTGCGAGATAGTCGAGTTTTATAAACAAACACACAAAAACACTAACATTGAAATAAATAAACACGAGACATTGACAGACGAAGACGATTAACATAAATTCGGGAACTAGTTCCACACACAACGCGGCACGGGCAAACGTTTAGTGAGTCATGACAAAACGTTTGCCCGTGCCGCGTCGTGTGTGGAACTAGTTCCCGAATTTATGTTAATCATCTTCGTCTGTCAATGTCTCGTGTTTATTTATTTCAATGTTAGTGTTTTTGTGTGTTTATAAAACTCGACGATCTCGCAAGAGTGACAACAAGAGCCTGAAGATGAGGTTATAGAATGCCACACCGCATTGCTAACCGGTTGCTCTATACAACAAATATAGGATCACAGACGGAAACAGGTAATATTATACCATTTTAATAATACTTTAATCTAAAACACCATCTGGTCTAAATTTGAAATAGTATATACAAAATTTTCTTAACAATTTTTTTTCACTTTTTTCAATATTTAATTTTTTACTTCCCTATGAATTATATATTTTTGATTTTTCCAAGACCCTCTGATATGAGTGATAAACACATTATTTGTTTTTGTTATTGTTGAACTGTTCCTGAAGAATGCTTAAGCCAAAATATAGAATATTTTTATAAAAAATGTGTTAATAGTTAATTTATTTACTTGAAAAAGCCGTTTGGTAACACCATGAAAAAACAATAAAAGAACCTTTTAAGGAGACTACTGTCATGCAGACAACACAATTTAATTATCTCGTAGGTTGTTTTAACATTTGTATTTACACAGTGTTTGTCTGCAGGTTGGAGGTGGCACCTGATGAGCCTCCGCTGCCGCCTGGCTGGGAGATACGACTCACTGAGGACGGTATCAGGTATTTTGTGGACCACAATACGAGAACAACCACCTTCCAGGACCCCAGACCTGGTGCTCCTAAAGGGTAAGTTACAAACAGCTCACAGCATAGTGTTGTAGTTAGTGTAAACCTAGCAGGTTGCAGTTTAACCCTAACATAACCTAAAAATAATATAATATACTGTATATAAAAATTATATATGCAAAAAAACAATCAATCTCAAAAACAACTATCTTATCTATCTATATTATTAATACGCTACATGAAACTTTGTGAACAATTAGGCTTTTTTGTTTTAAGATTTAACCCCTCATATTATTTTTTTTAATTTTCGTCTAGGTGTGTAGATTTGCAAACTGACCTTACATTTTTGAAAAAGTCCCTTCCCAGTGGCTTTAAAAGTTCCCATGTTATCCTTATGAAGAACAATTTTGTTTACATTATGATCAGCTGGATAATTTAATTGCTGTTAATATTTTAGTTGCAATTTAAGGAAACGTATGCTACAAACACTAACGTGGTTGAAATGAAATATTTTTACTATTTGAATTTGGGTTGGTGTAAATATTACAGTGGGAAAAAGCGAGAAAGCCTGGAAAATTTGATAAAGGTACTAAAAAGAAAACTGAATTAGCCTAATACTGTTCTGCATTTCTTGAGCAATCATTGAAAGAGCCGATTTGTAATTTATGGAAAAATAGGAAAGTCATAGGACACCACTAAGTAGAATAAATAAAGAAATTATTTATTTATTTATTATTTTAGTTTTTTTTTATTTTTATTTATAATCGTTATTATGGACAACCTATTGCGGCTATGAGTGAGAAACATTTTTAGAAAACACAAAAAAAAACTAGATTAGCTTGATATACTAATTATATTGAACTCATATGTAGGCTACATCGTGAGTATTTCCATAATCTTTGAGTTGACTCTTTTTTAATTTCATTGGAAATTATGGCTGTTATTCGTTTTAAAATAACGCCTGTAATACTTTGCAATTGCTCGAACTTGAGCAAGAGGTACACTAGTACTACAGGGTGGTCTGGACCTAGCGTTACAAATTTTTTCGGGTGGTAGAGCAACACAAGTGTGACTCAAATCCACAATTTAAAAAAAATATATTCCATACACCTACTTGCAGAAACATTATTTAGATTTTTTTTAGAAAAACCAGTACATTTACACAACATTTTAAAATTCCTCTAGTATTTTCATACATTTTTATAACTTTGACACTACCATCATATTCTCCATTAAATTCTATGTAAGAATAAACAGCTTTTGGTGAGCCAAAAGCTTCAGAATTACTATTTAAATTGATTAGAACTAAGAAATTTAGATTTTCCCAAAAAAAAGGTTAAAAATAAGCCTACAGACACTTTTTTAAGAAAAGTACTAGAGATTAGCAAATGGCTACAAAAACTGCTCTTAATTCTTAGGTTTTAAAAGATATGATGAGGCATATGATTTGCTTCCTTTTAAGTACAGCTATTCCAGTTATAACTGTGGAAAACATGGTTTAAGGAAAACAAAAACACACCATAACAAACCAAAAAGACACACATGATAGATTTTATTATTATAAAAACAGCATGAGGCTGCAACAAAATTTGTCTCTAGACAAGTTCAAAAAAATTCCAAGTATTGGATTGATAACCAAACCAAAATGCAAATTCATTTTAATTTATTTTCAAAATGTCCTCCATTCTCTCTGATGCAGACTCTAGCTCTCTTCCGCAAAGAAATCTATGAGGTTCAGATCAGGAGATCTTGCGGGCCTACAAATTTTGTTGCAGCCTCATGCTGTTTCTATAATAATAAAATCTATCATGTGTGTCTTTTTGGTTTGTTATAGTGTGTTTCTGTTTTCCTTAAACCATTTTTTCCACAGTTATAACTGGAATAGCTGTACTTAAAAGGAAGCAAATTAAATACCTCGTCATATCTTTTGAAACCTAAGATTTTAGAGCAGTTTTTGTAGCCATTTGCTAATCTAGTATTTTTCTTAAAAAAAGTGTCTGTAGGCTTATTTTTAACCTTTTTTTAGAAAAATCTAAATTTCTTAGTTCTAATCAATTTAAATAGCAATTCTGAAGCTTTGGGCTCACCAAAAGCTGTCTATTCTTACATAGAATTTAAAGGAGAATATGATGGTAGTGACAAAGTTATAAAAATGTGTGAAAATACTAGAGGAATTTTAAAATGTTGTGTAAGTATACAGGTTTTTCTAAAAAAACAAAATAATGTTTCTGCAAGTAGGTGTATGGAATATATTTTTTTTAAATTGTGGATTTGAGTCACGCTTGTGTTGCTCTACCACCCGAAAAAAGTTTAACGCTAGGTCCAGACCACCCTGTATATCTGGAAAATACACATCTCAATTATTTGTAGACACCGTCACTAGAACGAAAGACTAAAGTCAGACTAGCTTGGAGGCTTTCCAGTAAGTATAGTTGTAGTGTTTAGTTTTAATTTCACTGATTTTGTATAGCTTATTGTTTTTAATCCATATGTGGAAGAATAAGGAGGTTAGGTTAGATACGTAGGGTGTTTAGGTAAATGTAGATATTAAGGCCACTTGAAAACAGAAGGAATTCTATTCTCTCCCAAAACATAGTACAGTCAAAACACTTAGCGTTAAAAAAAGTTCATTTTACCTAAACAAATAATCGTCCTTCGCATTTATGAACTTAAAAAATGTGAAAACTTGAAATGATCAGTTACGAGGTATATGTGGTTCTATTGATGTTGTGTTGTCGCAGCCCAAAGGGCGTGTACGGAGTGCCAAGGGCTTACGAACGATCGTTCCGCTGGAAGCTCAGTCAGTTCAGGTACCTGTGTCAGAGTAACGTACTTCCGTCACACATCAAGATCACAGTCACTAGACAGACGCTGTTTGACGACTCATACCACCAGATCATGCGATTGCCTGCGTACGAACTCAGACGACGGCTCTACATCATCTTTAGAGGGGAGGAGGGACTGGATTATGGAGGGGTCTCGAGGTAATGCCTTGGTTGTTTACTGACTACTAGTATATAAATCCCGCACTTGATATTCAATAAATGATCAATAAATCCCACTAGATATTCACTGGAAATCGGCACCATTTTTTTTTTCAAAATTAGTACCCATACCACAGTAATAGTATGAAGAATAGTGGAATGTTCCAATAATATACATATGTATCAAACAAAACTACACAAATGGGTATTTGTATAGATAAATGGGTGTTTGTTTAAGTTGCTATGTACAGATTGCCGTTGAAACCATGCTAAGAGCGAACCAATTGGGCACAAGATTTGACTACTTATACAACTATATATTCCATCCCCATGTTAAAGTAGTCACCTGTTTTTAAACTAAAACCGTTGTAGTTGATGTAAGCCACCAACAGATTGTGCTGATGTAAATTACTGGTTTCTGTCGAATACACCAACTTGTTTACCAAGTCAAATTGATAGAACGACTTATAGAAACTGTTATGACCCATCAACTATGTCATTATCTACAACTAGGTTCTATTTTAATAAAAAAATTGGCGACAGCTGGTCCATATGAATGGGATGTCTACTTCAGTATCCAATAGTCAATGATGCAAGTAAGGGGCTCTCTGTTATGATATTGAATATTTGTCGTTGGAATTTAGTTTAACCAACAAAGTTTGGTTAAACTAAATTGTGTAAAATACCAAAAAATACCAACAAAAGCTGTGTACAATTTTTGGAATGATGTGTGTAAAATACCAAAAAATACCAACAAAAGCTGTGTACAATTTTTGGAATGATAGCTTCTTAAATCACACTGTCAACTTCCAGTATTTAAGACTTTTATTTTTAATTATATTTTATTAGGGGTGGGCGAGTAGTGATTTTTCAATTCAAGTCGAGTAGTTGCGCGTAAAGTAGGCCTGGGCCCTAAATATGTAGTTTTTAATAGCTTTTTACATTTAAGTGTATACCAAATTTTCTAATTTATATAGTTACTAATTACTATTATTAGGCCTAATAGAAAAATTTGGTCTAGCCTATGCCTACTTGTTGGCTGCAGCATTCAATTTACACATCACTTGTTATTGTGTGTTTTATTTATACTTATTATTATTTTATTCATATTTACCTTCTCTTCCTACTCACTTACATTATAATCAACCTAGGTCTACTAACATAACTTTAAATAATTTTTAAAAATAATGTCAATTCAATTTAAAGAAACAGAATTTGTATAAAGAAATTAATTTATAAAACAAATTACTTAATAACTACATTTAAGTTATCTTAAGTTAAAAACATCAATATGCAATCAGGTATTTTAAAATAATCACTTGGAATGAAGTGCTGCCTTAAATTGTTGAAGGTTAGGGGTACTTGGGCTATCCTCTTCACTCATTACATTTATAAGAATGATATAAGTCACTCGTCTCTGACCGACTAAAAATGTCAAACAAACAGGTAGTAGGCCTATTATCTTGAAGTAAAATCCCAATTTAAACTCTTTCTTAATTTAAAATTAAAACACATTTCACTGTAGCCTGGTATAGCCTATTATTGGTCTTTACTAAACTCACCACTTTCTAGGTTATGTTACAAACAATCAACTTCAAATTGAAGTTGTCATGTTGATGCCACCAGATTGAAAATTGCACAATCACAAACAGAACTTCTTCCTGGTGAATTAACAATATTGTGCCGGTTTGTTGCAGAGAATGGTTCTTCCTCCTCTCACACGAGGTGCTCAATCCCATGTATTGCCTTTTTGAATACGCCAACAAGAACAACTATAGTTTACAAATCAACCCAGCCTCATACGTCAACCCAGACCATCTGTTGTATTTTAAATTCATCGGTAGATTTATCGCAATGGTGAGTAGGTTTTTGATGACATGTACTGGTTTTTAACTTGTAAAATTTAATTTAGCATCGTTACTACCATCTTATCTGTAAATAGCAAACTTACTGGACAGTTTGCCACTCAAATATGGCATTTTACTGTGGCCTACTGATTTAAAAAAATCCATAGCCTAAAACAGTTTCCAAATGACTGTTTTCACAGTAGAAAAATAGCTAGGTAAGCAGAGTAAGGCCCGATTTCACCAAACCTTTAAACCGCCGTTAAGCCTTGCTCTAACTGCAGTTAGCTCTTAACTGACAAAATCGGATTTCACCACTCACCGTTAGCGCTAGTTTAGACTAAACCGTCGTTAGATAATTAACTGCCCAATTTTGACCGGTTAACTTCTTTAATCTTTCGTTAAGTAAAATCAGCTGGCTTTAAGTTTAGAGTTTATATGGAAAGGCGAAATGGTAGAAGAGAATACGGTACAAATTAGCTTTTGAAAGTAAGTGATGGCAATGAAGAGTAGCCTATGTTGTTCACCTAACTAGGTGGATAAGAGAAAAGGTTAATGATTTTAATAACATAAATGAAATTGATTTTATTATTAGATATGAATTATCAAAACGTTTAGCCTTTTTCTTTAGGAAATGAATACAGACCACTGTAGTGGTTTGTGTTTAGGCTATCCCACATAGTGCATTGCTTTAGGTTATCCCACAAGGTTTTTTGTTAAGGCGTATATCTGTGATCAGCGACCGCAAAATCCAAACCAAAATCTAAACCTAAATTGTCATTACCGGTATTGTGCTAGTATTTTATAGAAAATAATTATTTTGGTGTTATCTACATTGTGTCTCGTTCTTGTAATTCTTTTGACTCCAGTTTTTTTCACTACTTCAAATGTATCAAACTGGTTAGTGAACAAACAGAATATTGAACATCCCTGTAAAAAAGTTGGATTGATGAGTCTCACTGAGCTATAATTCTAACTGGAGGTAGCACTGAATGTCAAAGATGCGTGTCGCCAGCCGCCATGTTTGCGTGAGGTGGGTGTCCATAAGAAGCCATGTTATTGCTATGACAAAAAAACTCACTGCTATACAACCTAGTTATAAGAAGCCATGTTATTGCTATGGTAAGAAAACTTACTGCTATACCAACCTAACAAAATCAGCGACTCGCTTTTGACAGACTTCTGCCATGGCAGTGCTACCTCCAGTTATAATTTTAGCTCAGTGATGAGTCTTGACTCGACCGCAAAACTCAACCAATTTGTTCCTCGAATACGAATATGTTTGATCAACATTGCTTTGCCTTTATTTACTTATGTTAATTATTTTGGTATTTATTCTTGCTTTCTGTTGTTATTTTGCTATATTGCACATCCCTGTAAAAAATTTGGATTGATGAGTCTCGACTCGACCGCAAAACTCAACCAATTTGTTCCTCGAATATGTTTGATCAACATTGCTTTGCCTTTATTTACTTATGTTAATTATTTTGGTATTTATTCTTGCTTTCTGTTGTTATTTTGCACAGAATCTATTGTATTCCTGTAAGCTTGACTGTCTCCAGTTTGTTTTCACTACCTCATAAACACTGATTTATTTTCTAGGTTATGTTTACTTGCTCCCGTAACAGCCCGGTATTATGACAGTTCACTGCCACTGCCACTTGGATTTTACTCTAAACTCTCGTTTATAAAACTAGCGTTAGTTTTGACGCGTTTTCGTTGGTGAAACCAGATTTCCTTAACTGTGGTTTAAATCGTCGGTTAGTTTTAACCGAAGTTTAATTAAACCATCGTTAGCGAGAATTTGGTGAAATCGGGCCTAAGAATTCAGTAAAAGTTCAAGCGTTAGCTATGGATTATAAGAAATATAGTTTTAAAAGCATTTTTACATAAGAGGAGTGAGCTGGGCTAGTGGTAGATTCAAAGGACTTTGCTCCTTGAGGTCCTGTGTTAAAAAACCCACCAAACACCAATAGATTCTCTAAGTGCTAATGCCACAGCCCCATAGGCTTAACCCTGAAGGAATGTGATAAACAGTTTCAGGCTATCGTTCATCCTAAGGTGTGAGAGTGAAACAAAAAATATATTTTTACATAACCTTTTTAAGCGTAAAATAACCATCCAGTAACTATTTGGCTTTATACCCTTAATACTTCTGCATCCCAGAAAGGATAAAATATTATATAGGCTATCTTTCTTTAATTTCAATTATTTCAATAATTAGTTGATTAATTGCAATTATTTCCTCAGGCGTTATACCACGGGAGGTTTATTTACTCCGGGTTCACGATGCCTTTTTACAAGAAAATGCTAAACAAGAAGTTGACGATGAAGGACATAGAATCGATAGACCCGGAGTTCTACAACTCGTTGGTGTGGATCCGGGACAACAACATTGACGAGTGCGGACTCGAGTTGTTCTTCAGTGTCGACTTTGAGGTGCTGGGCCAAGTGATACATCATGAGCTGAAGGAGGGGGGAGACAAAGTCAGAGTAGACGAGGAGAACAAAGAGGAATACATGAGGTGAGATTGTTGGACCACAGAAATAATAACTATGTATACGTTAGGAAGGGTTTCCACAGCTCTCTAAAACCCCCAGTCTGCTGGAAAAAGCACTAGTTGATATTTTAGTTGAGAAACTCAAAGATTTTTATGTGTTTCTAAATTTGATAATTTATTGGTAATTTGTTTACCAAGAAAGTAATACATTGTATAAACGAGATTTCCCATGCCCATCTGTGTAAAGAGAGATTTGATAAGTAACTAGTGATGGGGGTCGGTACCACTTCTTTAAAGTCGGTACCGGTTAAAATTACTTCTGTTAAAATACTGTAGGCTATAGTTTTTCACATGTTTATTTTTCTTGTTTAGTAATCTTTATGTTTTTATTCCTTTGTGTATAGTATTTACAGCTTAAATGTTCCTACTTAAATCTAGTCAACCAAAAATGTCCATTCACTATGTACCTGTTACTGTACAGTATGCAATATTTCAATTTGTATGTACCTGTAGCTTAACACGTTGAGTGCGGCAGGCATTCAAACAGGTGCTCGCCAATGGCGGCGAAGCCCCGGCGCGGCATTGTAACAACAAACGCAATTGGCATTCAAATATTTCAATCTGACGAATAACAAAAGAGCAGCTGTGATTGTACTACGTTACCCTGAGATTGGACGTAGTTCCCTGAAACAAAAGATAGCAGCACTGCCTGGATCAGTAGTCAGTGGCTTTGTAATGTGGCTTGAAGAGAGAAAATCCCCGAAACCCGGACAAGAGCATTGTCAGACGGGATTTTACGGGAACTTTTAGTAACAACCTATACCAAAATTAAGCTCACATTCTTAGCTACAGGCTAGCAACGATTATAACGTTCCCGGAAATGGCTGAGCTCATACTGAACTAATGTAATGGGGGCTGCGCAATTACATCAATTGATGTAGGCCGATAGGAGCGCTCCAAGCGGGACTACATCAATTGATGTAGTCAGCACTCAACGTGTTAACAATTCGACGTGGTCAAAGTCAAAGTCAAATCATTTATTTTCACACAACGTTTTACAGATCCAGCATAGCTGGGAAACAGGTGAAATGGTCATGGACAATTAAAATACATAAAACTATAATAACTATACAATATGCTAAGAAATCAAATATATGCATCATTTAAAAAAATCATTAACTTTGTAATACCCTTTATTAAGCAGCAATTTGGTAACTTCTTTTTTGTATTTTTTCAAGAGATTCTAATGATTTAATGTTATCAGGCAGTTTATTATACAGTTTTTCCCTAGATGTTGTGGAAGGGTTTCAAGTGAGCCCTTAAGTGAGTGATTAAGTCTATGAATGGGCATTTGTAAATCATTTTGATGTAGTGTTAAATAATTATGGTTATGGTTTTCATTCATATAAGATTCAAGATTTTTTTTATCAAGATTAATGTTAGCAGGATATAAACTGACGGAAGTGTTAATAACGGTCTATAACTGTATTACTGTTCAAGTGACCAAATAAAGAATCTTGTATCTTCATCGTCTTCCAGGCGGCAAAAACATGAACATCTATTGCGGCCATGTAGACGTCATTGTCGTCTCCCGGGATTGCGGCAACATCATTGTCGTTATCAGCGATCGTGGCAATATTGGTAATTTTTCGGCATTTCACCATCGGTTCTCGGTTCCGGCACAGAAAATACTACTATAACCCAGAATGCCAACCGCATGGTAAAAAGCATTAAGTGTTTTGAGAGAGCTTTGCCTGTCAATCGCAGGCAGCGCCAACAGCGTTGCCATGCACTCAGCATAGCAACGCTGGTGGCGCTGCCTGCGATTGACAGGCAAAGCTCTCTCAAAACACTTCACTTAATGCTTTTTACCATGCGGTTGGAATTCTGGGTTATAGTAGTATGTTTTCTGTGGTTCCAGTTCTTTTGCCAAGAACCGGCGGAACTGACATTTGACGTGAGGTACCGACCCATCACTATGAGTAACGTTAGAGGTATCTTAGAGTTTTGCTGCTTTCATTGCTGGTAAAATTATTTTGTACTCATAAGATTATTGTAAATAATGCCATTGTCTTCTAGCTTAAATTCAATGTAATGGGTTCTTCCAAACATTATAACGCAAAAGAAGTATAATGTAGTTTCTTGAAGCTACTTTGTTTACTTAATTAAAGCTCAACTTCTACATTCAGCCAAAACCAAGGTCCATACACTTTTCCACTAGACCTAGTAAAAAAAAAACCCTGCAATACTTGCCCCCTACTAACTACTATGAACGCTTAGGTTAATGACTGAGTGGCGGATGACTCGGGGCATCAAGGACCAGACGCAGGCATTCCTGGAGGGCTTCAACGAGGTGGTGCCGCTCGAGTGGCTGAAATACTTTGATGAGCGGGAACTGGAGCTGATGTTGTGTGGCATGCAGGAGATTGATGTGGAAGACTGGCAGCGCAACACCATCTACAGACACTACACGCGGAACAGCAAGCAGGTTCTCTGGTTCTGGCAGGTCAGTAGGTCAATCAGCTTGGATTGTTACTTTGATTTTGATCCATCTCAATACCCACATAGGTACTAATGATAGCCAAAATAAGAAATTTCATCTCAAAAACATAACACCAACCTCAAGGTCACAAAATTATCAGTGGACTAACTATAAGATGTTTATTTTTCAATCAAAACTGAAAGAAACTAGACTCTAGACCCTATTTGGTTATTATATGGCTAACACTTCAAACACAAAATATGTTTTTAATATACAACAAGCACTGAAATTACGAACACAGTTTTGACACATCACTTGTGGTGCAATTATTTTTATGAATACCATGACACTTGATAATCTGGCAGGTTTGGGATTATATGTGCCATATTACTGAGCGCTACAAATGCTGTAATGCTAGTATAGGTTTGGAGAGAAAGGGCTTATTGCTTGAGAATAGGTGTGAGAAAGGATAGGATAAGCAGGCTTACCTTAAGAAATGTAGGCATCCAACTTCATTCACTACAGAACACAGAAGAAAACACAAAACAAAATAAACACTGGATATTTCGAGGCCACTGGGATGCCTACATTTCTTAAGGTAAGCCTGCTTATCCTATCCTTTCTCACACCTATTGTAATGCTAGTATATTACTATTACTTACGAGGCAGTTTTTGTGCCCGAATGCATCTAATTAGACTGTTAAGAAACAATAAACGCATCCTTGCTGGATTATTACTTAGTTTTGGTGTTAGCTGTATTCTTAATGAGTCTCCATTTTAAAAATGTATGCCATATATGTTGTTTTAAAGTTATTGTGTATGTATCATGCAATTGAACCTCTTTAAAAATGAAACTAGGAGCCCTCAGCAATTGCTGCCCTTCATTTCCAATGTAATTTGGCCTTTACCATTCCTTAAGCTGTGCACCATTCCTAAATACTCTCCTTCGTAGTCGTGGTCTTCCCCTAACACAATACATTTCAACACCGCATTACCATTCTAACCTAAAAACAGAACACTATCATCAATAAACAAACAAATACGCAAAGAACACTTGCATAGACTGAGCTTTAGCTTTTTCACATCAGCTAGTATATTTAAAAATATATAATAGAAACATTGTAGCAATGCTACTTCCATTAGAAAATTACTGGATCTTTGACGGCCCTTGGGGCAGAGCAGGGGTAATTTTTTACACTTCTGATATTTTTTTTAACTGTCCTTGGACCTTAAGCTTTTTAAAATGAATACTCAACAGCCATGCTAAGCTTTTTCCTAGCTCAAGATATTTTGTGGGGACCGATTTGCTTACGGAATTAAATATATGGATAGAATATGCTATATCTCTCAATTGTAAAATTAATCAACATTTGCAGTTATTGGTGATTGTGGTGTGTTTGTTGCAGTTTGTGAGACAGACAGACAGTGAGAAGAGAGCGAGGTTGCTACAGTTTGTGACAGGCACATGTAGAGTGCCTGTAGGAGGCTTCGCAGAGCTCATGGGTAAGTCTGACCCCACCACACTACACAGCGAGTAGTTGGTTTCAGTGTTCTTGATAGACAGAAAGTTGTCATTTACAGAAAGAGACTGGTAAAATCAGCTGGAGTCCATTTAAATGTACAAAATGCATAAAGGTTAATATTGAGTGTCTAAAGACTAGATTTGTTTACTTTGGGTCAAAAATGTTGACTTTCGGGTCTTGGACCAAAATTGGACAGCTTTTGACCATAGTAAAGTTTGTAAAATTCTACTACAATTAAAAATTATTAAGAAATTATTCCCAAAATGGATATCTTGAAAGTGCATCTGAAAATGCACAAATAAACACATAAACTCATAGAATTTAAGAGCTACTAGCTATACGCTCCTTCTTCAGTTGCGGTCTGTGTTCTTTTGGGTTGTTCTGGTTGTATGAGGAAAAAGAATATGCTGTCTATGGTTGTTGGTCAATACCATTAAGTCGTAGACAGCATGTTCTTTTTCCTCCTTCCACAACCAAAACAACCTTCAAGAAGAAAGACTACTACTAAAGAAGGAGCTAGTAGCTCCAAAAATTCTTTATTTTATTTGTGTATTTTCTATTTACATCAGTTAGGTTGTAAACCTTCCTTCTGTTAAACCTATCGATCACAAACTGCTTAAATATCATGGCCTAAATCCAATGAAGTTGTGAACTCACAAATGCTAGACAAGAGTAAAAATACGTGTATTTTGTAAAAAGTTAAAGTGAACAATAATAATTGAATGAATTAGTAAACAAATAAATATCATCTGTTAAAATAAAGATTTATATACAGGTAAGTAGTCGTCAGGCACTACAGTACCCCCTTGCCAGTGGTTGAGCTGTGTAGTTGAGCAAACACGAAAAAAAATCAACTCTGGAACCGTACTGGAAAATGAACTTGCCTCCCAGAGCGCGTAGTTAATGGTGTAGATGTCAGAATAGATTTAGATGTCAATGTACCTCGTTGTTGAATGTCAGAATGAGAAAAGGGAGCAGTAGTAGTTATGGTGCCTCTGGAAACGCTGGTGTCATCATGGTCGAGTTGTAAGCTATAGACTGGCTTAAGTCGATCCATTGAAATGGTTACATCATTGCCTCGAATCCGAATTACTGCAGTCTTGTCAGATCTTCTAATGACGAGGTAAGGACCTGAGTAGGGGGGATCGAGTGCACCCTTAGAAATGTCGGTACGTACGAAGACATGAGTGCATGTGTTGAGATCCTTGAACACGAATGGCGTCCTACCTCCATGTCTTGTTCCATCAACTGGTCTTAAGTTGTTGAAATGTTGACGCAGATTTTTGACAAAACTTTGTGGGTCAAGTTCATGGTTGGAATCGCTAAGTGTAAGGAACTCTCCAGGTAGGCGAAGTGGTTGACCATACAGGAGTTCAGCTGAAGAAGCTTGTAGATCATCACGCCATGCTGTCCGTATTCCCAAAAGTATGACAGGCAATACCTCAGTCCATCGTGCTGTTGCGTGGCATCTGATGGCTGCCTTCAGTTGACGGTGAAAACGTTCAACTAGTCCATTTGACGATGGGTGATAGGAAGTTGTTCTGAGACGAGTCGAACCTAACAAATCTCTTAGGTGTTTAAACAGGCTTGACTCAAATTGCCGACCTTGATCTGTTGTAATTCGTAGTGGTGTTCCGTATCTAGAAATCCAAGTGGTAAAAAGTGCTCGTGCTACTGTTTCTGCTTCTATGTTTTCGATTGGTACTGCTTCTGGCCACCTTGAGAAACGATCAACACAGGTCAAACAGTACCTGTAACCTTCGGAGACAGGTAGCGGACCAACAAGGTCAATGTGTATGTGCTCAAACCTGGAAGATGGAGGAGCAAACATACCTACAGGAGTCCAGTTGTCAGGTGAATTTCCCTTCACATTAGCCTTCAGGAGTTCGTTTAGTAAGCTTTGATGCTCCGCCGTGTTAGGCAAAAACCTTCGATAAAAATTTATCATGCCAATAAACCTCCTTAGTTCCTTAACTGTTTTAGGTTTAGGATATGAGTTGATGACTCTAACCTTTTCTGGCAAAGGTTTGATACCTTCTCCAGATACTTCATACCCTAGAAAGTTAACGACTGATGTTCCTAGAACACACTTACTTGGGTTAATGAGGATCCCATAAGTAGAAAAACGGTCAAAGAGCTGTTTTAAGTGTAATACGTGTTGTTCTTCTGACTCTGAAGCTACTAGGATATCGTCGATGTAAGCGTAGCAGAAGTCTAAGCCCCTAAGTACGCCATCTATAAAGCGTTGAAACGTTTGAGCAGCATTGCATAGTCCAAATGACATGTAAGGGAATTCGAACAGGCCAAAAGGTGTGGTAATTGCTGTCTTGTGGACATCCTCAGCAGCAACCGGAATCTGGTGATAAGCCTTAACAAGATCTAAGGTGGTGAATATTGTCTTACCATGAAGTTGGTGAGAGAAATCTTGAATATGGGGAACAGGGTACCGATCAGGGATAGTTCTAGCATTCAAAGCCCTGTAATCTCCACATGGCCTCCACTCATCGCCTTTTTTGGGAACCATGTGAAGGGGAGAAGACCAGGAACTAGAAGAGGGTCTAGCTATACCTAGTTGAACCATGGAGTCAAATTCTTTTTTGGCGAGTTTAAATTTATCCGGTGCCAGGCGGCGGGGTTTACTGAACACCGGAGGTCCTGGTGTTGTCTCGATATGATGTTTTGTGTCATGTTTGGAAGTACAATCAGGTTTACCTGAAGGTCTGGTGAGGTTTGGGTATTCATGAAGTAATTGAGAGAAAACTGTCTGTTGACAAGACTTAATAGTTTTAACACTACTCACTAAATGAACTGAAGGAGGTTGACCTTTGGAAAAAAACGAAGTTGACTGGTCAACTAAACATTGACGTCGTACATCAACAAGCAGATCATAATAGTGTAGAAAGTCTATCCCTATTATTGGTTTGGATACATCGGCTACGATGAAACGCCAAACAAATGAGCGGCGTAGACCAAAGTCCAAAGGCAAAGATACAAGACCATACGTCGTAATCTCAGTATTATTTGCTGCATATAGAGTATAGTCAGTCTTAGGTCTTTTTTTATCTAACATATTACGAGGGTAGACGCATACATCAGCTCCCGTGTCAACTAGAAATTGTTGTTTGGTTACCTTATCGGTGACAAATAGGCGACGGGAATATGTGAGGTCGGAGTCGCTTGTCGCCATTAGAGACTCCCTGGGTCGTTTCCCGATCTGCTTCCTTTGAATCTGCAAGGGTCGGTGCACTTCGTTGCTGCGTCGCCGAACCGCCAGTGATACCAACAGACGTCATGGCGATCAAATCGATTCTTGGAGCGTTGCCATGATTGTCTACGTGGATATGTGTCTGATGTCTTGTGGAATTTTGGACGTCTCATGTCTTCTTTGATTCCTGCTATTTCTTGTTGAAATTTTTCTGTTACTTCTCTAATATTTGATGTCAACGTGGTTGTAAAGCGTTCCATCATTTCTTCCATCGAGGGAGCTGATAAGGACGCCTCCGATACTTGATGGTGAGGACTGACTTCATGGACAGCATCCGCAAGCTCCGCCAGTGTATCGAGGTCCGCAGCCTTTTGTGTTACCAAGATGGCTTGTGTTGCTGAAGGAAGACGGCTAAGCCATTGAAACTTCAGTAGTGGATCAGGTATCATGGTTCCGGCTAGAGTACGCATGTGCCTCAGGAACTGTGATGGTTTCCGATCACCTAACTCTTCTCGTTCCAAAAGTTGTTTCGTCTTCTGTTCCTGGGTCAAGGTAAACCGTTTTATAAGTTCTTTTTTTAATTTGTTGTACTTTTCTTCTGCTGGAGGGTTGGTGAGGATATCCCTCACTTCCGCTGCGTATTTCGCATCTAGGTTACCGCAGACGTAATAGAACTTAGTTTCGTCGACCGTGATCCCCGCTAGAGAAAACTGGGTTTCGATTTGTGCAAACCACAATTCTGGATCTGAGTGCCAGAAAGGGGGGATCTTGACTTGAATTCTGTGTACTGATTGTTCTCCGTTTGACATTTCGGATCACGCCGGGGTCACCAATTGAAGTTGTGAACTCACAAATGCTAGACAAGAGTAAAAATACGTGTATTTTGTAAAAAGTTAAAGTGAACAATAATAATTGAATGAATTAGTAAACAAATAAATATCATCTGTTAAAATAAAGATTTATATACAGGTAAGTAGTCGTCAGGCACTACATCCAATTTTTATTGAGTTTCAACGTTTTTATTGAAGCCATTCACTCTTTGTCCACTCAGGGAGTAACGGGCCGCAGCGGTTCTGCATTGAGAAGGTAGGCAAGGAGACGTGGCTGCCCCGATCTCACACGTGTTTCAACCGTCTGGACCTGCCCCCGTACAAGAGCTACGACCAGATGGTGGAGAAGCTCAACTACGCCATCGAGGAGACTGAAGGGTTCGGCCAAGAGTAACACCATCATTCCAGGAACTTACCTCGCCACATCCGCTATACAAAGTGTTATTTTTGCATCTAGGTAAGAGTTGTATATTTTTATCTCGAGAAAATCTACAGGAACCCGTATATATATATATGCCGTACAAATTATTTTTTTACAGTGTTAATATTTTGTTTTATCCGCCGCAGTGTATAAATATATGTAATCATTTTAGTTGTTGAGTTTTAAGATGTTTATGGTTATTTTAGCTTTAATATACATCGATTATTTGTTATCTGGTTTGAATATTTACGATTGTTTGATTATCATTTTGACTGTTTGGGATCAATTGAGTGTTTTTAATCACATTTCTGATTGTCGCTGCCGATTTGTCAGGTTTACGGATTCTCAAGTTATGGTAATGTCAGGGATATTTGCCTAACCAATAATGACAGTAAGCTGATAAGTACAGCACAGCTCTAAAAGAAGACTATAAGAAGTCTATAATGATTTTATCTCTGAAATATTAAAAATGGCTTTGGTTATACTTTGCTTTAAGCAAGAAATTTGATAGTACAATATACAAATATGTCCCTTTAAATACAAGTGGAAATTAATTATGTACCAACATATTTTACCGATTGGGCGATTGATTTATACAATGATTTATATTAATGTTTTAAAGTGTGAAATTGTTAAATGAGTTTGAAGTTGCCACCAACACTTAACACATATTGGCAAAATTACATAAGGATATCAGCGCTAAAACGGATCTTCTTGGTTCCAAAGGAACGGTTTTGATCCACTGTAGTGGGATACTGTGTGTTGCAACAGTACGGACGGATGAAAAATAAAAAGTAAGTTACATGATTACTTTTTAAAAGTTCTTCACTTAATTTGGCTCAGTTTAAACTATTTTATTTTATTAATTTGAGTTCAACAACAAATTTTCTGGCTTAGTTTAGTAATTACTGCCTACTTATTTTATTTTTCATTTATATTAGTGTAATAAATGCTAGAGGAACTTTACATTTGTTTTTTTGAGGGAGCATTCCAAAACTCAGATATTATCACTTTGTTGTAATTAGTCCAATGATAAAGTATAAATTATATCCGAATCAAAGTTTTCAAATTTTTTAGTGATTATCTGGTATTGTTGTACTATTGGTATTTTAGCCTTATCTTTTCTAATTTGCCACTGTCCTGTATTCTTTCAAATTATTTAGAAATGAAGTGTTAACTATCCTTGTCCTACATCTTATATTTTCATTGACCCGGTTTTAATGTCAAGATACATCATTGACTTTGGATACACAAGTGGATAGACTTTTCATTTGAATTTAGCTATATAAAGTTTTTATTCAGAGAAAAGTTAACTTTTTTCTTTTAATAAAACAAACCGCATATAGCTCAATTGAGTGTAGTTAAATATTGGGCCTCTCTCTGTGTGTGTGTATCTTAAGAAATGTTTTCTTTTTCTTTTATATTTTGATGTATGGTTGTTAGTTTAGCTTAAAAGTTGGTGTGTAAAACACAATACTATTTAACACAAGTACACTCTGTCAGCGGCGCTATTCAACTACGTTTTATGTTAAAAAAAACTGGCTTAAATGTGGCAATGTGATTGCTGTGTATCCATAGTCAATAGTTCTAGGTGCTCAATGTAATATATTAAAATATTTTATCGTCCTTATAGATGAACTGAAGACAAAATTCTGGTTAGTTTTGTCCGGTTTAGGTGGAAGGCAAACTATTGTTTACAACTTGTTTCTTTGTTGTTTGAACAATTTGAAAGATTTTTTATAGTAAATTGTAGGTATAGCCTAATGAATAAAACAACAATTGTAAAAATGGACCCCTTAAAGAAGAGGGAAACATTTAGTGCAGCACCCTCAAACGTAACCAAGATGAACCACACATAAAAAATGAAACATAAATAAATTCACATATGAATGCAGATTTTACTGTAGGTTGGGAAGTCTTCTTGCAATAACAAAGTCAATGTTCACACTGGTCTAACCTAACAGCTCACTTCCTTTCAATGGATTAGTTTATAAGATCACTGTTTTATTATTAATTTATATAGAAACAAATGTCACTAATGATTTTTGCAAATATTTCAAAAGCTACATGGAATAAAATAGTAGTAGCCTAAAGTGACTCTTTTCAGCCTGAGTTCAAGTATAACGACTGAGGTACAGTAGACTCCCTATTTGCATTTACATCATCAAAATACAAATAATAGTATTGCACAATGGTGATATGTTAAGTCATTAACCTTGGTTCAGTAATAAAAACTGTACAACAATAAATCACGTAAAGAACAGAAGAATAGAAAGTCTATAGTAAGCTACTACTACCGTAGTCAGCATAGGCTACTACTACATGTTGTTTCAGAACAGAAGAAAGTCGATAAAAACATTAGATAACTTCATTATATTGAATTTTAGCCTCCTGATCACATTTAAATACTAAATTACCTCAAAAACCTTGTTCTCATAGTACGATCATGCTGTTTTGCGAACATTTGAATAAATGTAGGTTTACAAATTTCATCAAAATCAGATGATTTCTACACAAGTTATCTTGCTAACGGATATAAATTTGAACCTTGCCTTAAAAATTGTCAAGATAAGCCTGCTTATCCTGTCCTTTGTCTCTTTAATTCTCAGGCAATAAGCTCTTTCCAATCAAACCTATAAATTTGAACGGATGGTGTAGCCTCTGGGGACATCAAATGAACATTTGCCCGGGTCTTACCATGAGACTTACGGTAATAGCTTATTCCCTATATGGAAAAATTGCTGATATGGGAAATTCACTAATAGCTCCCAAAATAGTTCTCCTTTTTTGCTATAAGAACAGCTGTTACTGTTACATAGTAAACAATTATTAATATTTTTTACTGAAATTCTACATTGGAAAAGGGGTATATTTTCTTGGCTGAATAAACAGACAAAATCAGCCATAAAAATAACTTACTTCATCTTGATTATTTTATTACCCCAGTGAGAAAAAAACTACTTAGCCCCTCAATGCATGTATTGATAGCTATTTTTGCTGCAGTATAAAAAAAGTTTATATATAAGCTAAATAACTTTTGATCAGCATTGTACGTGTTATTAAATTTACGGAAAGTAAATAAAAGAAACGTCTTATAACACTTAAAACATATATTTACGCTTATACTGTTACTCACAAGACGGTAAATATAAAAAAAGATGGTTAGAGGTGATCGATTTCGCCTATTGGGTCCGATGATGATTGGAGTGTCCAATCAAAATCATATGTTTTAAGTGTTATAAGACGTTTCTTTTATTTACTTTCCTTTTATATAAGCTGTAAAAGCTAATATTTTTGTGCTTGCCAGCTTGATTGAAATATTTTGTTACGCTAAATAAAATGATAAAATGCAAAACAAGGCTTAAGTGACAGTAAAGTTTTCAGCTTTAAAACGTTCCTTACAATCCCTACATTTACTTTTAACAGTCATGATCAGGTCTATCTATTAAGCCGTGTTTACACGAGGCCATTAAGCGTCTAGTGTATTTTAAGTTATCTGAGGCAACTAGCCTGTCTGCCAACTGGCTTCGTGTAAACGCAACCTAAATGTATATCTATTATTCTTAGCAACCTAACAAATTGTGTCTTATTTTTAGGGAATTTTTTAACTTTGTTTAATCATGTTGTGGAACCATACAACAGCATGTTTATTTTAGACATGGCCGTTATGGACAATTTGAATAATAATTAGGTACACAGTCAATAAGTGAATTTGGAATAAATCTTGAGAACATAATTGTCTACTTAAAAACAAAAAATATAATTTTGAGCCTAATTGTAGTTATTTAAATTAATTTTGTAATATTGGGTGTACTTTCAATTTTAAAATGTATTCTTTTAAATATTTTTAGCATTAAAGGATACATATTTATATTTTCCACACATTTGTATATCAATTAATAAGCAAATCAAAAAGACCAAAAACTGCACATATTGTTTATTTTTGTATGAATATTTTAACTTTGTTTTTATGTTATTACTGAATGTACTATGTATATCTCGGTTGGCACGATGAGTTGTTGTAGCCACAAATGTCTTATCAAAATGTGTATATGTAAAAATAAATTGTATATTTCATATCCATCCAAAGAGAAATTGTAGATATCCTCTCTAAACCTGCTATTTTAATAAAATGTAGGAAAGGTGTAATAAACTATTTATTACAAGAACTGTTGATGTACAGTTAATATTGAATACTGTTATGTACTTAGAAATAAACACATGAAAACTCTGTTGCTTCTGAGAGTAATTTTTATCACCCTTTTTGTCTTTGTCTACATTGAAACCCCCTTTGTACCTTGACTCAGTGATTTTCTCAACCATATTATATCTCTATTGTACCTGAATTTTTGAAATGTTCAACATTTCTTTTACCCTCATTTTAAAAGTTGTCAGTCTTACCAACTCGCCGAACCACAACAAAACCTCCAACCACTCTACCATCCGCAATATTCGACTCAATACCAAGTGCTAATTGTAATCACTAAGCACCAGTGGAAGTCCCTACCTCATCCAGGGCGGAAAGTAGGCACAACCTATATAGACTACAGAGTTTATTTAATCTGTGAAACTATTGTTTTCTAATCAATTGATCCTTTTATTAGATGAGGTAACGGAAAAGTATTTATTGGAAGTCAAATATTTGTTTTACTAAATGCTTGGTGGTAAGACAGTGTTACTTTTTTCAGATAACTGGTACATGAAGATACTCCAAAAAGGATTTAAATTGTTGTATAGATACAACGGCATTTTTCTATAAAAATTTTCCAAACTAAAATTAATGCTAGATTTTGTTGTTAATATGTCATTCTGGAGTAAAATATTGGAGTAATAAATACACTTAGTATTACAATTCTTGGTAAAAACTTTTATTCTTCTAAATATATTATTGGTACAATATTTCCTACACAAAATCATTACAGAATAGAATCTGAAAATGTTATACAAATGTTTACAATCGATGGCTGAGGATGTAACATAGAGCAGAAGGGATTAGGTTTTTGGGATTTAGGTGAGGACAGAACTTTTACTTTTCCCATTCAAGTATGGTCTCCAGGCTTTGGCTGAATTTAATACAATTTTAAATTAATTAAATACGTTGAACTACAAATATTATTCCTCTTAAAATTCAGTATTGCTAATAATACATTTTACTTTACTATAGAAATTGAAAAAAAATGGATAGTTCCTGTCATAGTAAAAGTTAAAAAAATTCATTAAAAATTCACTAACATAGTAAAATACAAAGACGTCTTTTTATCACAGTAAATTTACACACACTCGTTTGAATAATAAATAGTGAGCACACATGATGTGAACCTATGCTGGATCTAAATTTGAATAGGGCTCCTTCTATTTCTCCAAGCCTTCAGCCATCGTATCAGTCAGTGTAGGGTAATGAAAGGCATTAGCACAAGTTGATTAGGTAAATGGATCTGAGTTGGTACCTCAGCTGGAGATCTGCTCCAGAACACCTTGCCTTATCAAAGGCTCACACAACGACCTCGGGATCAGATGTTGACTGTTCTTCTTCAGCACAATTACATCTCCGTCTTCCAGTTCAAGCTTTCCATAGTCCATCAAACTTCTAACCTAGAATAAAAGGGACGGTTCAATATCCATGTAAACCAGTTCTTATACGATTAATGATATCTTGCTAACATACATCTACCACCAAAGGAAGTAATGGAAATAAAAAAAAACTCATTAAAAAAAATTACAAAACGTTAAAATAACTATTTTATTAATTATTTTCCCGGACTACAAGCCCTGTTGCCTATAGAAAAGACGGGTTTTACAGTAATTAATTGTGCATTGTAAGTGTTTTCACGCTAGTAGGATAAAATCATAGAAATCATAAGAAAATGGAAATTGAGTATCAGGAGCCAACGTGTCTAATAGTTTTGACATAGTGAATAAAATCCACCAATGTTACAAAACTAAAATTTAAGCTAATACTAATAGATCGAGAGTATAATCTATGACACATACATAACTTGTACATGTCAGCCAGAATGTACTATTAGATACATCCAACAATCAATAATTTACAACATGTTTCAAGCAGTTCACAAAAGGACTTAATCTGTTTAACTAAATCCAACATAATGATAATGATCTGGATTTAAAACATACAACCAAGTTCCAGGAGCCTGTAGTTTATGTGATAGTGAAAATAAATTCGGAAATAGTTTGAAAGCAGATAAGATTCTGTCTAGAACCTTAAAATCTGTGTTCCCTTCACATTTACATGTTGGAAGTTGCCATATAAAACTGTCATATGGCTCTAGATATCACATGAGAATTTCGGGGATGGATTTACATGTTTATCCAATGTAAAAATACTCAATTTAGCTAAGTAAATAAGAGGGATAACCCTCTGCCAAAAAAATATACAATCTGTATTTATACAGGGATATAACAGATTTTGTTGAAAATTCACATTATTTTAGTTTAAAACATTTTCGATAAACTACTTAAGTATGGCTCACTGCTATATTGTAAAAAGTTTCTCTTACCTCTACATATAGTGATTTTGGAGGCTTTATGTCCTGTGTAAGGTTCAATCCATAATTGTTTCCCAAAGATTTCATGTACTTTGCCAGAGATTTAGTGTAATTGTTGAACCATCTGATCTGAAATTTAGTAATGTTATAAATTGTGTGGACAAAAATCTGAAAACTGTTTTATCAGTTTTAGCAAGTGACTTTGCTGAAATGGTGGTGATCAGAAACCATACACAACCTAATAGCTTCTGTATCCAATAGTCAATGCTAATAGCCTCGAGACCAAAGACCCAGATGGTCACCTGACCACTTGTGATTGGTACATGCGCAAGATGGGCTTGGTAGCCGAGAAGGATGTGTTGGTGTAGTGAAGGTTGAACCAGGGTCGGCTTCACAAACGCTTAGTCTAGAATAATCATAGTTTACTAAATTAAATAATCCCAAAAAGGAGTTAATAGAATCAATGATGGATGAGGAAGGGGTCAGGAAGAACCAGCTGATTTCTATTTAGAGATAGTATTGTGTAGTCATCCACCTGTTGGGTTTCGTAGAAAATTTCACAACATTTATGACAATACAAGTCATAGTCGATACGAAAAAAAAAAACAATTAGGGTTAAAAACCATGGTTTTTATAGTGTCAGATAACATCACTTTGGTTAGAGAACCTGTTGCGAGCAACTGTCAAAATCATCGGGATTGCAGGTTATATGACTATGACTTGTATTGTCTTAAATGTTGTGAAATTTTCTACAAAACCCAACGGGGGGATTCTAATATAGATAAAATTTGGTCTACTAGATTCCGACTGATGATGGACCTTCGGGCCCAAAATTAATTTTGTATCAATAAAACAGGATTGCTAAGATAAGGCCTTATAATATCAACCAATATTATATTGTCAATTATTCTAGTCAAATAAGAATAGTCAGTTTTTCAGTACAACATTTCAATGGTAACTTTATTTACCATTTGCTTCATCATATTAACAATATTAAAAACATGTGATAGTTAATCTTAACAAATAGATTATACAGCAGAAATATAAAAGATTAATCAATGGACATACATAGTATATGAAATTAGTCATTAACAGTAATTATTTACTAAAAAGGACCACAGGGGTGTAGTATGTAGTCTGTAGCTCTGTACACATACAGACACACTCCTTTGAAAACCACTTTTTGGGCTCAGACTTCAGGGGGGCCCAAAATTTATACTGTATTTCCAAATAAAATTCAAACTAAAAAAAATTTGACATTTAAAAAATAATTTCTCTTATACTGAATAAGGGGAGAAAATCCCTCAATATAAAGTATGAAAATCTGATAAGTAGGAAAATTGTACAAACCTCTGACTCACTCAAGTTTTCTTTAATGTCAGGTGGCAGAATACTTCCGAACTCCCATCGCATTTGTCTGATAAGCTGCATTCGGTTCCAACTGTAAATAAACGGTATCAGCATTCTGACACATACTTTCTCCCATAAGTTTGTCAACAACCCTTATCATGTGTAAGCGGTGAGAGTAAATTTACGGAATTGGGATTAGTACAATTTTGTTCAGAATTTAAAGGACTACATACAAAATTTTTATCAAAATCGTTCGGGCCAGTTTTGTGAAAATTAGATTTTTCCGTTATTTTATGGGAAATAACATAATTTACAATAACTTTTGAACCGTAATTTTTACAGAAATGGAATTTGTACCATTTTGTTCAGAATATAAAGGACTATAACATACCAAATTTTTATCAAAATCGTTCAGGCCGTTTTTGTGAAAATCCTATGTTTCCGTTATTTTATGGGGTTTTATGGGAAAATTCCCATTAAAAATTAAATTTTTTTTAATGAAAAAACTATCAAAACTTTAAGGACCATAACATACTATGATAAATTGAAACCGGATTTTTTTCTAAAATCCTATTTTTCGTTATTTTATGGGGTTTTTATGGGAAAATAACATAAATTACCATAACTTTTGAACCGTAATTTTTACAGAAATGGGATTTGTACCATTTTGTTCAGAATTTAAAGGGCTACTAAATACTAAATTACTACTAAATACTAAATTACACTATTACTAAATTATACTAAATTTTTATCAAAATCGTTCGGGCCATTTTTGAGAAAATCAGATTTTTCCGGTTTTTTATGGGAAAATCCCCATTAAAAATCAAAATTTGAAAAAATGAAAAAAACGCCAGGAAATACTATGGATTAGAACCTACATACCAAATTTCATCGAAATCAGACCACAGGTGTAGTCCCTAGCTCTGTACACATCCAGACACACAGACACACACAGACATCACTTCGAAAACCACTTTTTTGGGTCCGGGGGACCCAAAACGAATATATCCACTCAAAACTCAAACTCAAAAATTTTGACGAAAACAATACTTTCTCCATATACTATGGTATAGGGGGAGAAAGTAAAAAATCAATAATACAGGGTGGGGCAGGGACATATCCCTTCTTTTAAGATTGCACTGTGAGTAGTGGGGGTGTGCTGGAGGAATGGGGTTAGGATCAAGACACTGATGCTTTGGGATTTTTTTTTAGAATATCACTTTCAGTGGTAGACATGGCTTGTTCGAGTGAGCAATGTGCTTTTGCACTCAAGATGTATTTTTTTTTTTTATAATTAAATAACTTACGTCATCAATCCATAAATTGCTGTGGAGTACGCATTTCAACCATCAGGTCATCCTCAGCTCCACTGTCACTAGGTTGAATCTGTTTCTATGTTGCTTTGATTTTGTAGCAACAACGTCGATAAATCGAATAAATAGGCCAAACCCATTTTACATTCATCACACATACACGACACGTACGAAACATTCAAATAACGATAATACTATGATTATAACACCGTGCGCACGGCTGGACGGGATCAGGTTTGTGGCTACAACAAGGTTTGAGTGTAGCCGCAAACCTGAGCCCGTCCAGCCGTGCGCACGGCGTTATAATCATAGTTTAATCGTTATTTTAATGTTTCGTACATGTCGTGTATGTGTGATGAATGTAAAATGGGTTTGGCCTATTTATTCGATATATCGACGTTGTTGCTACAAAATCAAAGCAACATAGAAACAGATTCAACCTAGTGACAGTGGAGCTGAGGATGACCTGATGGTTGAAACGCGTACTCCACAGCAATTTATGGATTGATGACGTAAGTTATTTAATTATTTGATAACTCAATCCGTTGTGCTACAATCTCAACATTATTTTTTTTATCTGTCTATTGTTGCTGTGCAGCTAGAGTGCGCTGCGAACTTGTTATCGGATGGCCTGCCGCAAATCTGTTACATTTTAGTGTGGGTGAAGTACTTCTGTTTAAGGGTGGTGTATTGGGAAGGATATTTGGAGCTCAAAGAACCGTCCAAACTCCTGAAAACATTGACCTTGTCAGAAGATCAATTTTGCAGTCTCTTCAACGTTCTGCTTGTTAGCATGCATCCGCGCTGGCGTTGTCTAATCATAGTGTGCCTCGTATTCTCCATGAGGACCTACACCTCCATCTACACAAGATGGTAGTTGGTTTGCTCATGAACTCACACAACGGGACTGGCAACAACGAATGCAGGCATGTGAAATCTTAACTGCGGGTCTGCCTCATGTTGCTCGGGTTTTGTTTAGTGGTGAGGCACACTTCCATTTTCTGGGGCCGTAAATAAGCAGAATGATATTGGGTTCTCTATTGGAATGATGCTAAGCCTAGGGTAGTTCACGAGAGGACCCTAGATGCCTTGAAGGATGCAATTCTCATTGAAGTTGGCCACATTCCACAACAAATGCTTTACAGAGTTATAATGAAGTCCAGAACCAGAATACAGCAGTGCATTTAAGATTAGGGACACCACTCGCAGGATATGCTGTTTAAAACCAAGTAAAGTTATATTAAAATAAACTCCCGGATGTAACCTTTAAATCCCAATATAAAGTTTGGTTCTAACATTTTTGGTTGTCTTTAAATGTACCTTCAAAATTAAGGATACTTCCCTGTCCCACTCTGAATATACAGGGAGCGGCAAAATGATCTGACGGTTTTCTTTGCCGCCCTGTCAAGCGAGTGAGTGGCGGAGGGTGGTGGTAATACAGGCGTTACAAAGCCAACGTGTGGACATTTTTAGTAGCCACGGAGCCGTGGGACAGCTGAGCACCATGACTTTGTAGTAGAAGTGTTTTTAAAAGTGGCAATTCCTGTGTAGCTGTTCAGTACTTGTTTCAATGTGGGTCAAAGAAGAAAAGTCCCAACTCGAAACACCATTTTGCTGTAGGTGGGTAACTTTAGAGCTACTAGTTCAGCATTGAAACTAAAATCTGACTACGTGGTGTAAGACTAAAGAGAGTGAGAAGGACTATGTGGTGTGATTGAACGTGTGATTCCTCACTCATAATGGCAACTTTGTCACGTGTAAGAAAATCAATCACTAATTGTTCTGAAAAAGAGCTGCGCTTTGCATAACCACTGGGCTTCAACTGTTGCAGTTGCACGATTGCCATTTTGTATGAATGAAAATGCAGATCGTATTGTAATACTCTTCTACTGAGCGGCCAGACAAGTGCAGAGCTGCAGCTTATTTACGTTTAGGCTGCTGAGGACTAACATCCACAGCTTATCTCACTCTCTCGCCACTCTCTGTTGTCCGAGCTGACCTTGGACAGCCTGTTGACTTTTTTTCAATGCTATACTAGTAGCTCTGAAGTAACCTACCCACAGCAGAATGGTGTTTTGAGTTAAGACTTTTCCCCTTGGACCCACATTGAAACGTCTACGGTACTACCGCTGAACAGCTACACGAATTGCTACTTTAAAAAAAACACTTCCCATACAAATGCATGGAACTCAGCTGTCCACAGCTCCATGGCTACTAAATATGTCCGCACGTAGGCTTTGTAACGCCCCAATTCCCACCAGCCTCCGCCACTCACTCGCTTGACAGGGCGGCAAAGAAAACCGTCAGATCATTTTGCCGCTCCCTGTATGAATATAGGGTTGATCGAAATGATGCAAGATTGGACTTGTCAATGATTGGACAAAAGACACTCGACTAATTTTTGGTAAGAAAATTACTAAACAATAAATTTTTTTTGCCATTGATGAAATAAACACTAGATGTTGCTTTCCGATTAAAATATTTATTTGTTACATCACTATTCTTAAAAATAATAAATTCATAGTTTAGTGGTTAGTAGTCATTCAATATTTATAAAGAAATACAGAGATTAGATTACTTTTTATGTGTTTAATTGTTACTACTTTTTAGTACCTATTTTAGATTGTTTCAGTTAGGCTATATTAATAATTTCATCTTACAGGTAAGCAAGAAGGCATCGCTGATTCCTCTCCAAAGCAGCCTTTTCTAATTTTACTTCAGGAAAGATTTCATTAGCATCTGCGTCAGTTGTAGAATTCCTAAAAAAATATTAAATAATTACTCAAGACAGTAGTTTATAAATTAGCCTATATAGAAAGAAAATGAAGGAAACATCACAATAATAGGGCCTAATCTGTGATTAAGGCACTATTGTCAATCTGCCCTGATCGCAGGTACATCATCATTGTCACCCGCCATAGCAATAAAATCAACATTTTCTGCCATTGCAAGCACATCATCTCCCGCCACAAAAATCTCCCCGTGATCGTGGCAAATTCATTAACAACTGTGATCCTGGAGACATCATTGTCTTCAGCTGCAAAATCATGAACATTTCCGGTGATCATCTTTATTATGATCACGAAAAAAAATTTTAAACCCCTTGTGATTGGATTTCAAAGATACAAAATTATTTTGCACTATTATTTAATCAGCAAAAAATACAAAGTTTTAAACATTCAACTTCTGTTGCCTATTATTAATTTCTTCTTTATACTCACATTGCCTCTGAAATCTGCTCACAGAGAAGTCTCATTTCTTCAAACACCAATCTCACATGATCATCCTGGAAAAAGAAAATACGGCAGTTTACTCAATTGCTCAATTTTCAAACATTTTTGATGGGTAGTAAAAATACTCTTCATTAAATAGACCTAATTTAAAATAACTACTTTTAAAAGTGCCAGTACCAAACTTAAAGATAGAATGTTCTATCTTAACATTATACACATTATAATATGCTATGAATAATCTAGGTAGGTAACTTTAGATTATTCTTAAAACCACAGTTCGGGTGGCAATGCAATACAAGTGCGCTTGAAAATAAGTGGGCAACAATTAAAGTTAGTATGACTACGATCAGTTTTATAGTATTTTAGTAACTGCAGGGAAAATATAATGTGTAACGCAAGCGCAAAGTGCCGTTGCTGCACTCAAGAAACTTTCCACACTCACCTGCAGCTTGTGTGTAAACATTTCTCTCATACTGCAGCAATGTGCCACTTTGCGCACTAGTTACACAAATAACTATTGTCACATATCTCAACCTAGGATGCAAACTTAGGATTTCTACACTTGGGCTTGAGGTTTACCACTTTTGTTGGTGTGGTAGACCCTTAGGACTGATAGGTGGCCAAGAGGTCTGTGGCATTGTCACTTTGGTCAAGAGTCAACATTGTAAACCAAGGGGACAAATCTCATCTAGATAGGATCTGGTTGCAACTGAGGAGATCACCTAAATGTAAGAGAGGCCCACCCAAAGTAAATTATGAGCTCCCTGGTGGAAGTTTACGAAGCGGATGATTTCTTTATGGGACACTTGTCTCATCGGGTGTTAGGTTGGTATTGACTATATATCTGTAGTTCAGTGATATATCCCCTATTTCGTAACAATATTTCAATATTCGGGAGATATAGGCTACATCCTAGATTTTGTATGAATTTCCCATTCTTACGGGCTAATTACACTTTTCTCCTGATGATTAACCATGTTGGATCCAACGTGTCCCCTAGTGAATTGGATTGGGGATATTGCTTATTAATTTAAATTATACTAGAAGGACGACATATCAGTAACAAAAAGTCCTTTAACCCATTGGGGAAGGAATTAATGCGCTGCCTTCAGTGCCCTCTGTCGGCAATTTATTTTACCGAATATGTAGACTTTTACTCTAATAGTTAGGCCTATAGAAATAAAACCTTAGGTAATAAATTAATAATTCTTTTGCCATTTTGTTCACAGTAAAATTGTCTACAAAAAAGGGATTAATTTGATAGTCAAAGTGTAAAATAATATTATAAAGATTATAATATAAAACATTTTTAAAAACAAATTTTTATACAGTAGTTAACTTGGTTTACAAATTCCAAGATTAATCCAGTCACCAAATGACACTAGGCTATTGTTATAAAGTTTAATTGATTCCCTACGTAGAAAAATCACAAGTTGTTTACGTTTATAAGTAATAACATAGAAAAAAATGTTTGTTTTACCTTACCGCAGCTGATTTTGGGTGATATCTGGTTTCCTTGGCAACACAACCTTGTTTGTTATTCGCAAAAATAAATGAGTACTAAATATGCAAAACAAGAAGCAAGATTTTTATAAAAATCATAAAAGTAAGAAGAAACAAAAAGGGGGGAAAATAATAATAATTAAATAACTAGTGGCGCTGCGTAGTGGTGACACGAGCAGCACTCGGAAGTCAGCCGCCGGGCCTGCAGCGGCCATACGAATAACGCTCATAAGTTGGCGCCAATGGGAAGAAAGTTATTGAATTGATGTCATAGAATAGTTTTAAAATGTTTTTAGGACGTGAGTTGGGGCTATTTAAGAAGTACTCAATCCATAAAGTTCCATGGTGTTCATAAATACAAAGACTGATCAATGTCAAAGTAAAACGAAATGATAGTCTTGCCTATTTTAAGATGCTCTTTCATATTCAAACAATATTTGCCATCTTGTAAAAATTAAGGTGTCTTTCTGTAATTTGGCTGCTTGATGTTTTAAGTTACATAAATAATTGAGACACTGACACTACCATACCGATATCTCCCTCTCCAAACAGTGGTGGGGAATCGTGGTTGCAATGCAACACACATCAATGCAAATCAAGTTTATCAATAATCTAGGAAACAATCGATTAGGAAACATAAATGTAGGACTAGGCTTGTTTACTTTTTTTAAAGCAAGGGAAAAATGTAGACTATAACAGCTTGTTTCCTGATCAAAATAAATACTTAGTACAGGCCCAAATTTGAGAAGTAACTTGAGCCTATATGATTAAGATAAGCTTCCAACAAGAGTTATAAAAATTAAGTCATTGTTCATACTTACATCAAAAGGTAACAAGCTTCCTCTACTTCTATCCAGTTCTTTGATTAATTCAAATGCTTTATCCCCGATCATGTTCAACAAAATATAAGTTCTAAATAGTAATGATAGGCCTAGGCCTGCTCTTGTTTTGCCTAGGCCTAGTTATCAAATTGGTATTGGTAAGAAGGAAGTCAATAACATTAAATATAATTGTATTTTCTTATATGGGTTGAGATAAACGTGGTTAAAACAGGCTTATGTTAAACTTTGATTAAAGTTCAAGAAAATACTTCATTATCAAGTTAAAACTATTACATTAACACAATCGCATTCAATACATAAAACATAACCTATAAATCAGTTTGACTTTTCGTTTTAACTCAAAATATTTGGTTATTCCCGCTCCACAGCTGTCTATATTTGCAACTCCTAATCTAAAACACAGTAACGGGTGTCTGTGATGAGTTGGTTGATTTTAGCAATAGAATAATAATATGTCTAACTGTTTACGTCCATATTTTGTTTGTTTCTTGTATCCTTGTATCATAAAATGCATAAGAGTAAGAGTATATAAATAATATAATTTATCAATCTCTAGAAGGTGGATATTCCCTACTTTAAGTAATTCTGGTTTGAAACGAGGTCAGGTTAAACTGGAGATACCTCATGAGACAGGTATGCGTCAAGGTCAAGGGCAAAATTTAACTAGGATTGCTTTCAGAGCAGTGAAAGCCAGTTGAGCGGAGCAATCATGTTTCGCGGTTTTTAAAGTAGTAAATGAAAAATGTTTATAGATATAATTCAAAATACATATGTTCCCACACTCACACTCTGCACTGCTAACCTATACTACTTCTTTCACCACTTCCTACGTCGTGGATCTGTTTCCCTCCCTTCCCAGAGCATTTTAGGATTGCCGATACGGATACATTAATCTAATTGCCACAAAGCGTTCCCACACTCAGCACCTTTAGCCTTTACTACTTCCTTCACCACCTCCTACGTCATGGACCGGTTTCCCTTCCTCTCCCCTAGCATTTTAATAGTTTAGATACATTAATCTAACTTCCCTTAAAGCGTTCCCACACTCATCTGCACTAGTGATGTAAAATACCCGGGTATTTAAAACTCGGGGTAAATACCCTGGGTATTTACCCGGGTAAATACCCAAAATGCATAAATACCCGGGTATTTTGGGTATTTATGAAATTCATTTATATTTACCCCTAATGTTATTGTTATCATTACATGATAAATTAGGATGGTCTGTAACACCTTTTACAGTAACTTGAAGCTTTGCTAGTACCTTTTATTTAATGATTTAGCACTTAAAAAAAAATAATAGGCCTACATAAAGTTTCTAAATAAGCATGGGGTTTCGTGTCTTATATCGAGTAACATCAGTTAAATTTAACTTACTATAATACAAAAAAATAGTATATTAAAAAAGGCTGTGGCTATTTTAATTTGTATCATTTTATAAATTTATAACCAATTAAATAAAAAATTATTTTAATTTATAAATATTCAGGAATTGTTGGGTATTTATGTTGCAATAAAAACAGTTGAACTTGCCATGAATAGTTTTATTAGCAATAAATGATTGTGTAAAACATTTTAGAATACTCCAAAAGAGTTAAAACTCTTTATAATGTTATTGCTATTAAATATTTTTCAAATTACCTTGAAATGTTATTATGTACAAAGTTGAAAAAAAACGTTTACAAGTTACAACCACTGTGCTAAAAAACTATAAAGAAGAATATGGCTTAATGTGAGAAAGTAAAGGCAGAATAATAAAGTAATTAAACTTTGCTGTGTTACCGTTTGGTTGGAAACAATAATATATTTGGATAAACCTACTAAAAAATGTATCTCTTGTTTTTTGTTCTAACTTAATATAATTTTGAAAGATTTATTGTGCTATAGATTCAAATGTTTTGTATCACAAGATTATTAAATTCGTTTTTTATACCATTGATACCAACAAAAGATCTAGAACAAAAATATTACTAAACCCTGCCATCCTACAGATTGAATTTTAATTATTTTCTTAAGTTGTTTATACATAGGCCACTACTAGGTTAAATTTTCCTGTCTTTCTAAATAATAATTATTGCTTTACAAGTTATTTTTCTTCACTTTCAATAAAATAAATTCATCTATCATTGAAATAAAAAAAATCATAAGTAGTCAGGACCAGTGCAACCATGCGACCAGGGTATTTATGCTTTATGCTCAGACCTGGGTATTTATGGCGATCATACCGAGAAGTAAAATACTAGTAGTGACCATATGAAATTTTGTTTAACACATTTTATCATCATTTTACTATTCTCACAGGGTAATAATTGCAATAAAACATCTCAATCTTCTCTAACTTTAATACAAATTATAAATACCCAGTTTTTGGGTATTTACCCGGGCCTGGGGTAAATACCCGGGTAAAAACCCAATTTATATTTACCTACCCACTGGGTATTTACCCGGCCCACATCACTAATCTGCACTGATAGTCTTTACCACTACTTCCTTTACCACTTATTCCTATGTCGTGGACCTGGTTTCCTCCCTTCCCAATAGCATTTTTGTATTTTAGATAGGTACATTAATATAACTGTCCCACACTCTGCCCTGCTAGCCTTTACTACTTCCTTGACCACTTCCTACGTCGAGGACCTGTTTCCCTTCCTTCACATAGCATTATAGTATTGCAGACAAATTACTGTAACTGTCACCATCGGTTCCCACACTTCGCACTGCCAGCCTTTACTACTTCCCTCACCACTTACAACGTTGTGGACCTGTTTCCCTTCCTTCCCATCGCATTTTAGATTGCATATACATTAATATATAACTGCCACAGATGGTTCCCAGCCTCCGGAGTGTTTGCCTTTACCATTTACTTCACTACTTCCTACGTCTTGGACCGGTTTCCCTCCCTTCCCATAACATGTTAGTATTGCAGATACATCAATGTAACTGCCACAAACGTTTCCCAAACTCCGCACTTCTCGCCTTTTCTACTTCCATCACCACTTCCTATGTCGGACCTAAGTTTGCCATTTATGAGATTGATCCATACGATGATTCAGATCATTCAGATTCACCTATGAATCGTTTAAGATCAAATGTTATTTTGTTATAACCTTATTAAGCTACGTAAATCAAATCTGTTAAATACTGTACCTAAGAAAGTATGATTTATCTATGACTGTACCTATTCGATCAATGGTCGTTTCCTAATTGCGACTTAAATGTAAACCTAAGACTCTCTCTGTATTATTTGATCATAGTTGTCATCATACAATTTTTCCCCCTTTCCCCACCCCCAACAAGAAAACAACTCTAGAAAGTGTAGTAGTCACACAACAAATATGAGTATTTCAAGTAGGCTGTTGGTCAACACATACACCTAAATACTTAGTACTGACAGCTGTTTCTATAGCTAAAGATTTATGGTCATAAGGCCTCAAAGAGAATACTATTTTTTCAATTTTATTTTTAATTAAGAGATAGTCATTAGCTCTAAACCAAGATGAAACTTCTTCTATTGAGTTATTTACCAAATAACTTAAATGCAGAAAGTCACTGGAAGTGTTAACAAATGCTGATCGTGTCATCAGCATAAAGAAGGGTTCTACATTGTACATTATGAGGTAAATCATTAATACCAATTAAAAATAACAAAGGACCCAAAACAGATCCTTGGGGAACACCGTATTTCAAGTAAACCTCTTGAGACTGAACACCATTAATATACACAACTTGTCTCCTATCCTTTAGGTAAGATTCGAAAAGTTACAAGGCAGCGCCCTGAATGCCATAGAAGTGCAATTTTGAAAGAAGGTCTGAATATCTGCCGAATGTTATCTTTAAATTGTATACGTCCTGTTATGTCATGTTATGGATTTGTCTTGTATTTTTTTTATATAAACATTATAAAATTCTGGATAGCTACAATATCCCTTGACCCTTGGAATTTCGTTCTCACTTAAAAAATGTAATATTTATGCAAATATATTTATGTATCTATCTATATATTTAACTAGCTGTGTACCCGTTCTACGCACGGGGATCTTATAATATTCAGTTGAAACCTTCTTATATAACGAACAGCAGTTGGTTTGCATATTTTAAGATATGCTGGCCAAACTATTATACATAGCTTCATTTTATGTTGTTTTTTGTTGTTCCGGATCGGTATGACAATCAATAAAAGGTTAAATTACCTCTGTGTCTGCCGGTCGATCCTATAACGGTAGGCTTACTTTTATTTTTACTATCTGATCTCGTTTGCATGGCTCAATCACGTCCTGGTTGAAGTTCGTTCGCTACGCTCACTCACCTGTATGTTGGAGCTCGTTCGCTGCGCTCACTTTCCTTCAGGTTAGCTCGTTCGCTACGCTCACTTGCCTTCAGGTTAGCTCGTTCGCTACGCTCACTCGCCTCCAGGTTGCAAATTAGCTGTTGTCATAAATGTAAAAGAAATAATAGTGCTAGTGCTGCACCCTGTTGGTAATCCTTGTAACTTTAATGCTATTGAACATCACAGAACAGAACCAACTTGTTTAATTGAAACAGCTGTTAAGATTCAATAATTTCATTTCTCATAAGGTTAACATGGGCTTCCAGAAATTCCACGTCAAAAATCGACAAAAACTTGATTTTCAAGGGTTTACTGTTAAATATCTAACTGTCTCATATTCGATGAAATACGTCTAAAACCATCTCATATATGTATAGTATTTGGAAAATAAGTTTCAGGCGGGACAGTGCTATAGTTATTGAGGAGTAGTTGTAATAAAGTGCGTATTTTAGCGTTACCAAGAGAATGACAGATAGACAGACAGACAGACAGACAGACAGACAGACAGACAGACAGAAATTGAGATAAGGTTTGATTCGGTTTCTCTGACCTATGAAATGTAAAAATAACCAAAAAGTTCATTATTCTAAGCAATGTACAGACAAAACTCTAATTTTATTTATATAGATACACAGTTGTAACACTGTTTTCTCAGTAATTACTGGACCGTTCTACAAGATTTATGTCTCAAATTAAAGGGGATAGTATGTAGATTTGCCGAACTTCCTTAGAATTTACGTTTTTTCTAAGGGCTACGAGCTACAGCCCTTTAAAGGTCGAGTCAATACAATTCTTATTGAAGAATAAAATACACAGTTCATAAATTATTCGTCAGCTGTTTAATGTTTGTCAGACATTTGTTATTATTTTTATAACCTAACTTTCAGTATGCAATTATTAAACTTGGAGTTTCTGTTTATAAACACACGATTTTGATCAAGGAAAGTGTATTTGTTAACTTATTTTTGAAATGTTTTAG